GCAAGATGACGAATAGTGGGGTCTGGATTTTCAACCACATTCTTGTGCACTGCAGCAATGTTTTCAGCTGAACAGGGTAAACGAGGATGCAATCATGTTTTCACATCTGCCACCAACCCAGTGTGTTTGAATTTACGAACAATTTTTCCAATTGCACTCTTGGAACTTTAACACATTGTTTGATTGTTCATCTTTCCATAGTTGAAATTGCAAAAGATTAAGTTGTTAAATCTGGAAGAAAAAGAAAAAAATGATTAGATGCTTAAACTTAATTCACATTTAAATTTGGTCCAAGTTATTGGAACCGCCTTTAGAAAGTCCTAGTGCTTCGTGCTTCACATGCAACCAACTCTGAGTCTCTTATCAGGTTGACTTAATTCTCTGTTACACATAGTGTGTGTTTCACCAGGGCAACATACAGTTTTGAATTCAGTTTTCCTTCTCCTAAACTGGTTGTCACCCAAGACTAAAGGATCCTGTCTGTTCTATTATTTACCCATAGCTGAGGAGAGAAGAGTTGAATTCTTATCTTGCCAAAGGGTATTAGCACACTAATGGGAAAAGTTAATTTAGTAATACTTGATGGAAATACATATTCCCTTCAATGAATATTTCCTTTGAAAATTTGTCATCAAACAGAAGATAAAGTGTGACTTAATTGTTTAATCTAGAAATGATCATATAAAACAATATTATGAATGAACTACAGTGTAGCCCGGATATAAGAGACCCGGATATAAGAGAAACCCGGATATAAGAGAGATTTTCTCTGGTCCCAAATTAGAGCCTGTGTTAATGTATATAAAATAGACCAAACCCGGATATAAGAGAAACCCAGATATAAGAGACTTCTTCTCCGGTCCCGACAACTCTCTTATATCCGGGTTACACTGCATAATTTAATAAAAATCTTTTCTTTGAAATTCTTGTTATATGTAAGCGTTAGTAAAATAAACAGGCTTAATTTGCCAATCTTTTTGATAAGTATAAGTACATATCCGTTTTTTTAGTATACTTATGCAGAAATGTGGTAGCATTAGTAATTATTTTTTGTCTTTTTCCTTGCAAATTTTAGATAATTGTTAGAGTGTACATATAGTGACGTGTAAATGACTGGTAAATTAGTATAACTAAGGCACAGAGGTTATATAAGTGCCCAAGCAGTTAGGGGAGGGACAGAATATGATATTAAAAAAATGTTTTCTTTGAAATTCCTCTTATATGTAAAATAAACAGGCTTAATTTGCCAATCTTTTTGATGTGTGGCAGAAGCACAGTACATATCTGTACTTTAGGTATATTTATGCAGAAATGTTTTAGCATTAGTAATTACTTATATCTTTTTTCTTTTAATGTCTATCTGTAAAAGCAGGATGTGTGTATGTGTGTGTGTGTGTGTAACAAATGCATTGCCGCAATTTTCGACGGATTTGCACCAAAATTTACATGCACATGCTCCAAGTTAGCGGGAAGGCCAAGACCGACTTTGCATTTCCCAACTCCCATCGATAGTGGAAATAATCGATTTTTTCATGCTTCTAGAGCTGTTTTCATGTAGTTTGCGGCCATTTTCTACTGGCCAGAGTGAGAGCCTATAGCTAGCTGCCACATATAGGCAGGAAGATTCTATTGGCCAGCATGAGAGCCAACAGCTAACTGACACGAATGTTAACTAGCATGCTAGCATACAAAAAAATCGATAGCCGCATTCATCACAAGTGGGAAAAATTTAAATCTGCATGGCACTTTACCCCAATTGGCTCATTCGCTTGCTTAAACTCTACGTTGATTCTGATTCTGCAGAACTGGGTTGGGAGTAAAAAAGTATTTGTTGTTAACATTCTTTTTTCATTCGGTTCTTCCAGTTACGAGTTCTTTTTTTTTTAAAGCTGATCATTTTATGTTCATTTTGTTTAGTTCTTTTTACGTAACAGATTTAATGTTTAGTATAGAGCTTAGAAAAAATCGCTGTGTGAAGCAAGGCATGTAGCAACATCAGCACGGCAAAGGGCACTCCTTTAAATGCAAAGAAGGGCAAAAATATTTTAAGTCAAGGGATAGCGATTGCTGTATGAGTCGTACGAATTTTGAGTCAAGCACGGGCAACGCCGGGTCATGCTGCTAGTATATATATATATATATGTGTGTGTGTGTGTGTGTGTGAGAGAGAGAGAGAGGAGTGTACAGAGGGAGGGAAGAGAGCGATAGAGAGAAATATCATCAGAGATTCAGAGTGACTGACATAATGAGAGTATTAAAAAGAATTCAGTTGTTTATTTTTTTATATGCTAATTGATTCATCCATCACGCTTCACTCTTATGAAAATATATTTTGACATTTGTTCTGTTAAATACGATATTCGCAAATTTAAATACAGTGTCAATCTTAATCTATCTCTCTATACTTGCCTTTTTAGTCCTCTCTCTTATCAAGTATTTTAGTCCTCTCTTTTATCAAGTATTTGTAAATAATAAACCTCTTCCATATCAGTGGCTTAATCGCCTTTCTTGTGTGGAAAATAAGGGGATTTTTTTTTTAATTTCTAAAAAAAGTAAGGCATGTAGCAACATCAGCACGGAAAAGGGCACTCCTTTAAAGGCAAGGAAGGGCAAGGAAGTGTGGACTCTTCTAGTATTCTAACCTTCTCTAACCTTAAAAAATATTTTAAGAAAAACCTCAACCAATAGAAATGGCAAGAATAGCAATTCCATTGGTCGATCGTTTATGAGGAATTGCGCCAAAATGACTTGAGATTTTGAAAATCAAAAATGTTATAAAAAGGGGGCGACGCCCCATTCAGTCCCTAGCTTCTAGTTCTACTCCACGAGAAATAATTGCTCAAAGTGTCATAATGTTATCGAAATAAATTTCTTATACATATTGATTTATAATCATTACAAAAATAAAAATACGATACAAACACAAACACGTTCAAAAACACTTCGACAAACTTTTGCAAAAAAAAACTCTTAAATCTTATTACTCCAAATTTGATACAAAACAAGAAAATAGCAAACATGAGACATCAAAATTCCAGCAACACTACAATTTACGCACGCATTAAAACATATTGTTCCAGTTTGTAAATGTTTAATTGCATATAAAGGCTTTATTGTTTTGATCTATATATGTCTCGTTTTTTCCTTGTTTGAAATCTCACGCTTGTTTGTAAATTTGTTTGGGACACGGTTCAACCGATAATAACAAAAAATCCTTCTGATAAATCAAATGACCCAAAAGTCCCAACAATAGCGATTGCTGTATGAGTCGTACGATTTTTGAATCAAGCATGGGCGACGCCTGGCCCTGCTTCTAGTTCTTAGATAATTGCTAGTGCCATAATGTTATTAATGTTAGACTTTGAAAAAAGCACAAAAACAATGACAATCATAGAATTGTAAATAGTGAGAATGCTGGAGAATATTAAAATTGTTGCAGTGAGAATTGTATCTGATACTGAAAAACATCTTTCAATCCTAAATCCCAGACTTGTCAAGAAATTTGAGTTGAGCTAATTATACAAAAATTAAAGATGCTAATAATGTGAACTTTATCTTTAGAGTCAAGTATAAATATTATTTTATGAGTGAAGGAACAAGAAATAATTTTCTCAAAACAAAAGTTAAAAACCAATACAAATTAACACTAGAATTAGAGTCTATATAAAAACTCTTTTTTTAGAAGTCAGTTTTTGAGGATTCATTCAAATCCATATTGTGATAAATCTAAATTTGTGGAATATGCTGATACAGAATTTACAATTTTAACTCTTACAGTTTTAAAAAAAATCCCAGAAACATATACAATTAACTCACATTTATATTCTATAAAAATCAAATTGGTGGATGGCCTCAAAAACGATATACAGTCTGTTGTTAACTTAGGCAAATGGCTCTAAAACAAAACTGTTCTCATCTAATCATCTGAGAGACCTTTATTTGTCTTCCATCCAGGAGAGGGACTTGTTTTGCCTACTCAGCTAATGTTCTTAGTTGGCATGAAGTGGAAAGACTATATTGAATCCATTGCTAGGTCTCAAAAAGGTTCACTGTCTCATGCTAGATAATTTGTCTCTCCAGAATCTATCTGTGCTTTTTCTATAAAGGTCAAATTGGTGGCTGATCTCAAAAACGATCTACAGTCTGTTGTTAACTGGTGCAAAGAATGGCTTGTTAATTTTATTACCTCTAAAACAAAACAGCTCTCTATTAATCATCTGAGAGACCTTTTTCTATCTTCCATCAGCATGGCTGATGCTAACCTTCAGAAAAGTGACTTGTTGTGCCTACTCAGTTAATGTTCTTGGCTGACATGAAGTGGAAAGACTATATTGAATCCATTGCTAGGTCAGTTTCTAAGAAAGTAGGTTCACTGTGTTGTGCTAGATAATTTGTCTCTCCTGAATCTATCTTACATATCTATAAGTCTATCATTTGTCCATACTTAGAATATTGCTGCAACAAATGGTCCAGTGCTTCTGCTATATAGCTAGAGCACCTTAATAAAATCCAAAGAAGAATCAGCAATTTTATTGCTTCTGATCCGGTGTTTCAGCTTCAGTCACTTTTCCACTGCCATAAAGTTGCTTCCCTCTGCCTTTTCTATCAATACTCTTGTGGTAATTGTTCAGATGAGCTCTTTGTTATGGCATTCAGACATTTTTGAATTTAAGCACAGTACTAAACTGGCGATGAGCTTTCGTCAATTTACAGTTAAGTTGGCTAGATGTAACTGTAAGTTCTATGCTAACAGTTTTATTTCTTGCACTTCTCACTTGTGGAACTCCCATCTGGCTTCATGCTTTCCAGTAAACTTTAAACTTCAAAAATTTAAATACCTTTCTACTGCACTCCTGATTACTCTCCTTTTAATCTAATTTTTCCAAACCCAGTAACCCCTTGTATCTTAGTGGCTTTATTGCCTTGCTTGGGATGAACTTGATCAAAGCAAGTGATATGTAGATATATTATAGATGTATTTCTATTATTCTGTTCTTTAGATCAACAGTTGTGATGATGATGGCTTATTGGAAGGAAGATGGACTGAACATTATCCAAAAGATTGCACAGAACCATGTACTTGGACTGGCAGTGTGGCTATCCTTAAAGAATATATGGAAACCAAGAAATCAGTCCGTTATGGACAATGTTGGGTTTTCTCAGGAGTCATGACAACATGTAAGTTGTATTTCTTGTTTAGATTATTCATATATAAAAATGTTTTGCTTTATTTATGCATAACTCTTTTCATTAGTGATTTCAGTGTTTTTACAAGATGGTATATTGAAAAAAATAATTGGTTTGTATTAGAAAGTTCTAAAAGATGGAATAAAGATGTTAAGAATCTCAAAATGAACCTGTTAAATATGTAAGTATAATGTAAACATACAACAGCACCATCTCTCAGGTAGATGATAATTGTGAGACGTAGCAGAACAATTATCAGCATGGAATATGGAATTGGTAAAGAGAGTTCAAATTTCGGCTGAGGCTACTTGTGTTTCCTTTGGAAAAGGCATGAATACACTTCTCCCTGTATTCTATATGGAAGTGTGAAATAGTACAACAGTTATCAACATGGAAAATTGAAAATGCGAGCAATTATGGATGAGTCTGCTTGGGAAAGGCATGAGCCTACATCTCTCTGCATTCAGAAGGTGTACTAATTAAAGGAATGAGCTTGCATAATAGTTATCAGTTTGGAAAATTGATTTTGCAAGCTTTGTATTTCTTGTTTAAATTTTTCATATTTATATATGAAAAATGTTTTGGTCTATTTATACATAACTGTTTTTGTTAGCGATTTTCAATCAGAGTTTTTACAATATGGCATGTTGAAGATAATAATTGGTTTGTATTAGAAAGTTCTAAAAGATGGAATAAAGATGTTAAGAATTTCAAAATGCATCTGTTAAATATGTAAGTATAATGTAAACATACAACAGGGCCATTGCTCAGGTAGATGATAATTGTGAGACGTAGCAGAACAATTATCAACATTGAATATGGAACTGGTAAAGAGAGTCCAGATTTCAACTGAAGCTACTTGTGTTAAATTTGCCTTAATACCCTTAGGAAAGGCATGAATACACTTCTCCCTGTATTCTATATAGGTACAAAATGGTGGTGTAAGATTGTAGAACAGTTACTGACATCAATTGAAATTTTGCCTGCAGCTGCCTGTGTTCACTTGGCATAATGCATTTGGGAAAGGCATATCCATATAGTCTTGTTTCAATAGGTGTATTAATTAAGAGATGAGCTAGCATAAGTTATTCATTTGCAAAATTAATTTGATAAATATACTTCACTATTTTTCCACAGCTATCAGTGCTCATTGAGCAATCATAATTTTGGAAAAAAGCAAGAATCCATATTTTCCTTCATTCTGTATCTGTTTTAAATGTAGTTGTGAGGTAACATAACAGTAATATATGAATTGGCAAAATGAGTTTGGATCTTGGCTACTTCTTTGCATTCACCAACCGCTAAAGATCTTTGAAAAGGCATGCATCAATATTTCCCTGTATTTTATATTTGCACCAAAGATTTGTAAGGTAAAATAACAGTTATAGGAATTTGCAAAATATGTTTGAATCTTGGCTGAGAGAGCTTGTTTGAAATTCACTGAGTACTAATAGTTTTGGAAAAGCTATGAATGCATATTTCAGATATGAAATATAAAAACAAAGGAAATGTCAGCATGAAATGGATATGAATATCATTTTGCATATATATATATATATATATATATATATATATATATATATATATATATATATATATAATTTAAATAAAAATGTAATATATGAGGCAACAATTTTCGCCAAAGTGAATTTTGAGCAGAAAAGGATATACATAGGAATATCAGCGGGAAGTTGGAAACATCGACTTTATAACCATCCCCAGTCCTTCAAAGGTAAATGTAAAAAGAACCAAATGGTACTGTCAAAGCATTATTGGGATTTGCTGGATGATGGCTTAACCCCACAAATAAAGTGGAAAATAATCTCGAGAGCCAGAACTCCAATAAATTTCAGAGACAGATGCGACTTATACATAAAAGAAAAAAATTCTCATAATAAAACATAAAGATCCGGATTTATTACTAAACAAACATAATGAACTAATTTTTAAATGCTGACATAAGAACAACCTAAATCTAACTAAATATATTTAGGAATAACTATATAGGAAGACTAATATTACATGATCTTGGTTTTTTGTTTTTGGAAATGTTGCTATGCACACATAAGTGTGAACACATAACTGTATGTATATAACTATGTAATTGAACTTGAACATTGATACATCTTTTGATATGTATATGTATATGTATATGCATTTATATGGAAAGATAGTCATGCATGTGCTACTTTTGTGTATTGTGGGCACATTTTTGGAGTGGGTGGGTATGGATATGGATATGTATGTATATATACTTGTATGTATATAGGTGATGTGTTTTTTTTAAATATATGTAGTTATATGTATATATGGGTGTATATATATGTGTGTGTGGGTATGTGGGTACATGTATATGTGTGTATGTGTATGTATACAATTTTTTATAATTTCTATATATGTATGTGTGAGTGTGGTTGTGTATATATAGATGGGTACATGTATGTCGTTCCATAGATAGTGTATGTATGTATGTATAAATATAAGAATTTGTGAGTTCATATATATAATATGGGAGAATATAGATATAATAATGTAATTAAGTATGGATTTTAATATGTTTTTGAATGCACACACATGTTGGTGTATATATGTATATGTATATATCTGTGTGTATGTGTATATGTGTGTATAGGTATATGTGTGTGTATATGTGTATATATGTGTATGTGTATATATATGTGTATGTGTATATATATGTGGGTATATGTACATATGTATATATGTATGTGTGTGTGTATATCTACATATGTATATGTGTATATGTGTGTGTATGTGTATATGTGAATATATGTATATATATGGATATGTATGTATATGTATGTGTGTATGTGTACGGATATGTGCATATGTGTGTATGTGTATATTTATGGATACATAGAATATTATAAAAGAAGGACTTACAGTCCTGTTATTTGTGTTTTACCTCATTTTCTCATTTAATATTCTCCAATTGGAAGTGTGAGTTTAAAATTCTTTATAATATGGAGGAAAATTTTTTAAATTGATAATTTAATTTAAATTGAAATATATTACCCTTTAATAATCATTATTGATGATAAAATATTTAAATTGGAAAAATTTTTAATATTTAGGTAGGTGTTAATACATGAAGTTACCTGTGTATATCGGCACATGGGTAGCTCTATGAGTGATTGCACATGTAAAGGAACGTGTGTATATGTGAGATTTGCATGGGTGTATATACAGTATATGACAGAGCAAGATCTTTAATATTACATTCAAATATTACCCCATATTAACTTAACTAAAATTTTAAGTAAAAGAGATTACCTATCTAGAAACAGTCACAAGTTAAATTCATGAACAAAATTCAAATGGATAGAGATGTCAACTTAATAATCAATAATAAAATTTTTAAAAGCGATTAAAAAAAGATTACTAGAAGTAAACTTATATTTTAAAATAAAATTTTATTCTTTTAATGTATTTTCTATGAATATTTTTCTAATTGACTATTTCATAGAAAATCCACAAAATTTAAAAAAAATTTAAATCACTAACAAACATCAAATTATTTGTAGACAGTTTAGAGACATTCAAATTTATATCAAACATTATAATCTTTATGAACCCCCAAAATAACACTTTCAAAGTAAAGCAAAATAACAGCGTCTGTTTCTAGCCTTTTTTTATTTTTTATTTTTTTTTACAAAGAAAATTAGTGACACCTTCTCTCATGACTTCTCTCTTTTTCTCTCTATGGGTTTTTTCTCCTCTACCCCTTCAATATCAATATATAACTTCCGTTAAGTTAACCGTTTAAATGTGTCAATGTCTGCTAACTCACTCATGTCTTCTCTCTCCCCCCTCACTTCCTCACTTTGTTAATTTACATATGTTTAATACGGCCTGTCAAAAATGTGTAAATTTCTTTTCATTTTTTGTTTCAACCTTTAAAAGGGCTGTGGTGAAATAATTTATTACATGGAACCTTAAAGTGGTCTGTTTTTATTCAAATTATTTGCTCTGGATTTACATTGAGCTCTCTGGATTTTATGCTCTTTAGGTTTACCCATACAGATTACCTAGTTTTTCATAAACTATATATATATATATATATATATATATATATATATATATATATATATATATATATATATATATATATATATATATATATATATATGCACACATATATATATATATATATATATATATATATATATATATGTGTGTGTGTGTGTGTGTGTGAAACAAGCAGGGCACTTGATCTTTGAACATTGCCAAAAGTTTATGTAATTTTAAGAGATTTTTTATAAGTGAGTCTATATAAATTTTTTGTGTTGATTCTAGTGCTTCGGGCTCTTGGAATTCCAACAAGGTCAGTTACCAATTTTCAGTCTGCCCATGACAAAGACTGCAGCATGACAATTGACTTTCATTTTAAGGAGAATGGAAAGCCAATGACATTTTTGGATGATTCTGTTTGGTAAGTAGATTACTTATTATATATTATATTATATATATTATATACTATAAAGTCAAACAGCTCATTTTTAATATCTATCTCAGTCTATTTATGTCTATCTAAGATATAATTTATCATTCTATATAAAGAATTGTCCATAACTTTGAAAGTAGTCTTAAAATATCAAACATTGTTTGGACACTTGAATCTCTTCTTTGTATAAGTGCCATTGTTAACACAACATTTTGGCTAATCTATTTTTAATAATGGCTGAAAAATTGAATCAACCAAATGATGCATTAACAACAGCAAATATACAGTGAAAAGATTTCAATGACTGGACAGTTTGCCTATGTACAAGGTCTGTCCAGGATGTATCCAGCCATTTTAAATATCGTGATACTTGGTTACCAATGTTGATGTAATATGCCAACTGATCTGAAAGGATCTTATTAAGTATGTATAAACAGTAGTGTAGTGTTACTGATTCACAGGAAGTAGTATGCACTCAACTGTCCATGGGTAATAGCTGTAGTTATTTATAGTCTTTGTGATTTCATATATAAATGAGTCACCTCAATTTTGAAGAGTCATTAAAATATCCAACACTGTTTGGACACTTGAATCTATTCTTTGTATAAGTGCCATTGTTAACATAATGACATTTTGGCTAAGCTATTTTTAATAAAGGCTAAAAAATCAAATCAACCAAATGATGTGTTAATAACAGTGAAAAGATTTCAATGTCTGGACAGTGTTGCCTATGTACAAAGTCTGTCCAGGATGGATTCAGCCATTTTAAATAACTTGACAACTAGTTGTTCAGCTTTGATGTAATATGGCAACCAATCTGAAAGGAGTTTACTGAGCATGCATGAAAAGAAACTCTACTTTAGGGTTATTCAATTGGCAATACAAACACCACTGACCAATCTTATGTACTACATGTCCATCACATTCACAGTGGTCAAGCAATTAAATACATCATGTGACATGCAGGGTTTTTCTTTTTATCACAACAGATTGCATCATCCAGATGAGTTATTTGTGAACATCTTGAGATGATTATTTATTTACATTATTCACATGAACATAATAAAGCGGTAACACAAGGGGAAATAGAAAAAACAGGCATAGCTGACCACATATAGAGGGAAAAGGGAGATCACCACCTCCTGTGGGATGAGGTTGAAATAATAGAGGCATCACTGGAAAATACGTAAACTTAAAGAATCAGTACATATGCTAGGCCACAAAAATCTCCCGAGCTGACCAAGCATAGAAATGAATACAATATGGGAACCAGTGGTAAGGAGTGCTGGAGAAAAGCAATAAATAACAACAAAAATTTCAATATAAGCTCTGGTAAAAATGCTATAATAATAACAGAAAAATTGCAATATGAATATGAGCACTGTTAAAAAAATGTGTAGACACATGAGATATTAGTTTTATAAGTTTCCAAAAGTTGATACAAAGGGTCTGAGACATCCGGAAGAGGACACATGGAACCCAGTGGATAAAAACGTTGGTTAGATAGCAGTGACATAGGTGTAGACTCAGTGGAAAAAAAGTTGTGAGTTCAATGCCAGGCCACAGCAGTAGTGAACCAAAAAAAGAGAGTTGAGTTAAAGGGAAATAACTGAGACATCCGGAAGAGGCATGGCAGGTGGAACTAGAACAGTCTACCCTGGTGAACGAAATAAAGGGTTTGATTCAAAATTCCAATCACCGTTGTGAATATGGCAATGAAGATGAGGATAACAGTTCGAATAATGTAAATAATGCAAGTAGATCTGTTACCCTGTGATTTATGTTTTCGCAAATGTAAAACTGCTTTGAACTGCCGAGAATGAGATTATAGACAATGTATGGAGGTAGCTGATAGCAATTTGAATGGAGGACTTTGACAAATACAATGGCTACTAAAGTACCTGTGTGTGATCTAATGGGAATTATGTTTGAAATTTGTTTTGGTTAAAGCATCCAGATTTTATTTTTAGTTTCTTTTTTTACATTTTGGTAGGAATTTTCATGTCTGGAATGAATCCTGGTTAAAACGGCCAGATTTGCCTGCTGGCTACGATGGATGGCAGGCTCATGATGCCACCCCCCAGGAATGTAGTGAAGGTAAGATGAAATGTTTGAAAAAACTATGAGAAATTAAATATTATTTGAGGAAGAATACTTTTAAAATTAAAAACAATCTTTTGAAAAGCTTCTGTTTCTGTATTGCATTATAAATCACAAGAGACTTACTGGACCTGTGGAAATTCCATAGCATTTGATTCTCTAATTTGCAGATAGGCAAGAAATTGACATATCCATTAGGCCACTGTTCCACTGCTAAAATATATGGTGCAAGGTATATTGGAAATAATAAGTGTATATTTTCTTAAAGTTGTAATTGTTTCAATAAGCAACTTGTTTTTTTCAAATAATATTGAGTTAAATTCTTTTAAAACAATGAAAACTAAATTTAAGATTTTCTTTTGATTTTTCTTACACTAATTCAAATCATTAGAAAGATTGAAAGAAAAAAAAACTAAGCTTCCATATTTTTAGGTGAAATCGAGCAAATATTAAGAGATCATTGGCCTGTGTTATAATCTTCTTAAAACCAGATCTGATTCATGTTACACAAGTTTCCCCCACTTACTGGATGTAAACACTTTGAAACCCAAGACTGAACTAAAAATTCCATCAATTTCATATCAGCTCTGCACATAATTTCCATTTTACTAACACACTTAAAGAAAAATACAATCCAATTTACCATTTGTTGTATTTTTTCATTAGTACAATTGTTTATTTCTTAAACTGCTGTTGCTTCTTCTTTGTTCTGTCACCAGAAGCTTAACCTATTAACTGGCAAATTTTTTTAATGCACATTTTTGGCCCAGACAGGTGTCTTAGGATTTTATTTATTCCTTATATTTAATTTCAGTAGTTACCATTGTCATTTTTATAGAAACTAGAACATCAAATATATATGTGTATAAAACATCAAAAAATAATATCGATTAGAAATAAAAAAAATACTTTTCAAAATAGTCATTATTTTTCTACACGTGAAATGTAAAATTATGACATAAAGTGTCTTCTTATGGCTAATAATAAAAACTTTAAAGGCTACATGTTGTAAAATATACCTCTGCAAATGCAATGTATGTAAGCAATTCAATGTAAATACAAGGAATAACATGTAGTGAGTTTAATTTTAACAGACCCCAAATGGGGCTCATGGCAGGTAATGGGTTAATATAACACCTGTTATCATGTACTTGTCTATATTAAGGTCAGATACATTGAATTACATTTTAATGCTCAAGCAATTTCATCTTTACAAAGCATAATCTATGTCCTCCATAGAAACAAAGAGAATATTTTCCCTGACCTCATAACCAAAAGTTTAATATCCAAATGTGGAAAGGAATAAACAAAATAATATGATGAACATTTCAGGAAGATGATTATTTGATATTCATCTCTGTTTCATGAGAACAAATATTAATTTAATGACATGATTGGAGGATATAAAAAGTATATTCCATTCTCACCATTATGGAAGAATTTCTGTTGTGGTCTTGTTGGGGCCAGAAATAAAGACACAAGAGAGGAATTTAGTTAAACAAATATATTAACAGAAAAACAATAATACAACATATACAAATGAGAGTGTTACAGCAAGAATATTCGGTCCGACTGTCAGAGCTGACTGTTGGAAACTACACTCCTCTAAAAGGCAGTACCTGCTCCTATTTATAGCTGGAAGAATCCATACATGCATGGGTAGATTACCATAATATCTCCCCTTCTAAGTATTAACTCTGCAGGAGTCTTAATATCTTTTTTCTTTAGAACATTGGCCATTTATCATTTACCTGTCTATATTAAATTATGTTTTAATGCTCAAGCAATTTTGTCTTTACAAAGCATAATCTATGTTCTCCATAGAAACAAAGAGAATATTTTTCCTGACCTCATAACCAAAATTTTAATATCCAAATGTGGAAAGGAATAAACAAAATAATATGATGAACATTTCAGGAAGATGATTATTTAATATTCATCTCTGTTTCATGAGAACAAATATTAATTTAATGACATGATTGGAGGATATAAAAAGTATATTTCATTCCTACCATTATGTAAGAATTTCCAACAACTTATTCTTGACAGGTTTTGATTTTGGTCTAATGCTAATCTATTATTTAATTATAAAAATTCAAATAATTCTTTTACTATTGAAATGCATTGCAAATGATTATCTGGTTATTTAAGCTTTTTATTGTGTCAGATTCATTAAACAAAACAGTCAACTATTTTTTCATTGTCCTTAATGATGGTATATAAAAGAAATTCTGAAATTGCCTAGGATTGTGTAGAATCCACATTAGTCTGGCAAAGTACTTGTGTCTACATGGAATCAATTCCATAAGTGGTCAGAAGATGTCTGGAGAGATGTTGGGTTATTTCATTTTGATAGCTTTCATCAGCTCCTTGATATTTGTGGGTGTAGGATCTTGTATATGAATAGACTCCTCCATTATCTCACATAAATGCTTGATTGCATTCATGTTGTGGGAATGCTGTGGCCATACAATTTATTGAAAATCATCAGAATACTCCTGAAACCAATTCTCAGCAACTTGACAGCCTGAGGACATAGTGCAGTATCTTGATGGAATACCTCATCTTTGTTGGGGGTCTATGAATGCATAATTATTCCACTTCATTTCTATAAATGCTTTTAGTATTTTCTCTGTCCTTATAAATGTAATAACTAGAGAAAATGAAAGTTTTGACATATTTGTTTCATAAATAACAATAATGTATTTCTAATAATAAAGTATTTTTAGTGCATTTCTAGTGTAAAATAATTTGCAACAAATTACTCTAAATGCATTTAGTATTTGCTGTTTTACTACATTTGTAATAATGAGGATGAATAAAAATGTAATAGATCCTACCATTGGCTGCAGGCTTCATAAAAAAACTATATGGTATATGATAATGTACTAAGAAGCATTTTTAATAATTTTTGTCTAATATATTACAGCCTGGAGAAGAAGAAGAGCAATAAAGGAAAAAGTGATAGCTAATAGAGTGCAATAATGAAAGTTGAGGGCAAATGAAAAAAATCATCGTAGGATTCAAGAGACAAAAAATTGGGAGATTTTCTTGGATAAAAATACTGAGGCCATGCATATGTATGCTGGAATTTTTTTTGACAAAGAGGAAGATATCCAAGAACAAAGAATTCATTGGAAATTTTCCAAATATAAATAGTGTAAATAATGTTCTAAATATATTTCGTATTTGCTGAATTACTACATGAGAGTGAATAAATAAGAATCATTTTTAATTAAGGTTAAATATTCAAATAATAATCTGTCATATTTTATGCTATCTCATAATAATCTTTTCAGAATTATCTGTTTTAACTAAGACAGAACAGTTTGAATTGCAAGACCAACATGTGATAGCTTTTATTTCCAAATATAAATAGTGTAAATAATGTTCTAAATATATTTCGTATTTGCTGCATTACTACATGAGAGTGAATAAATAATAATCATTTTTAATTATTGCAACATATTCAAATAATAATCTGTCATATTTTATGCTATCTCATAATCTTTTCAGATGTGATAGCTTTTATTTCATTGGTATAAATTTATTTGTTCTTATGTGATAGCTTTTATTTCATTGTCATAAGCTCATTTATTCTTATTTTTAGGTATAATGCAATGTGGACCTGCTCCCTTAAAAGCTATCAAAGAAGGCCAAGTTTACCTTCTTTATGATGTCTCATTTATTTTTGCTGAAGTCAATGGGGATCGTGTCTCTTGGATGGTAATATTTGTAAAAAAATCTTTTTAATTCCCAATTTTGTTTGAATAAATGAACCCATTTATATTCTTCATGTGCTTTACAATGTTTTAGCTGACCCCTCCTACAGCTTTTGACATAGGTATCATAATCATGAGTACCATAAACCATTAGGGTCAAAGGAGCAGCAGTGAATGTGTCTAGGGTAAGATAGCCTAATGGACAGAGACAAAACTGAGAAATGATAAATGATGCGTGTACACCCCTCCAAGGATGGGGAGCACAACGCTGCCCATACACAGCAGCAGTACTTTATTTTCAACTTGATTTGGCTCTTGTAAAGGTAAAGGATCGCAGGGGGAGTCAGGTACTTACTGAAGTGGTACTGGGAATCGACCATTTTATCAGAATCTTTAGTGATGGATTGTATGTACAAGTTTTCACTTAAGTCCTAATAACTCATTTATTTTTGCTGAAGTCAATGGCGATTGTGTTTATTGGCAGGTAATATTTACAAAAAAATATTTTTAATTCTCAGTTTTATTTGGATAAATGAACTCTTCTTTTGTGTTTTTCATGTGACTAGTGTTTGGGCTGATCCCTTCTTCAGCCTTCATCATCAGTATCAAGTTTCATAACCCATTAGAGTCAAAGGAGCACCAATGCTAGATGATGACCCAATGAACTCATGATTGCCACCCACATACCTAGCGGTTTCAGTCTATACTCAAGAAAATTCCCACCTTCTTTGTTAAACATCATGAAGAGCAAAATGAAGGAGTTCAATAGCCTGAAGAAAAATTTTAAATATTCATTTTATAAGCCATCTTGTAAATGTTAAAAGATTTATCCATTAATTAGAGCGTTACAAGATAAAACACTGAAACTATTTTTTTTGTGAAAAAGAGTTATAGGGTGGAAAATAATTCATCACCCACAAGGATGTGGAGATGCTTTTAGACACTATTGAGACTATATATGGCAGCAGTGCTCTATTTTCAATCTGATTTGGCTCCTGTAAAGGTAAAGGATCTCAAGAGGAGTCAGGTACTTACTGGTGTGGTACAGGGAATCAATCATTTTATCAGAATCTTTAGCGATGGATTGTATGTAAGGTCTGAGGTGAGCTAAGTCCTAATATCTCATTTATTTTTGCTGAAGTCAATGGCGATTGTGTTTATTGGAAGGTCAATCCAAAGGTTCCTATTTCTTGGAGCACTTGCTAGAGATGTTGATTTTCTGTTCAAGATCATTTCTATCCCAACTATGAATACCTATGTCATCAGCATATCTCCCATCATCATCATCAGTAGATTGGCCTCAGGAGGGAAAGCGAAATTGTTGTCTTTTATTGGTAAATTATTTTGAGATGTGGTGGGGCATGTTTAAATGATCAGTGCCCATTTTTCACATCTGTGATGCTAAATGTGCCGGGCATAGTCTGGGAAAGGTCAGACTGGGGCTCTCGTTTCCTCCTTGCTGTACACCTGATGAACTTTGAAACATTTCCGTATTGGAGTCCTCCCCAATATCTGTCTATATTTCTGAGATGAGGTATTATGATTACTTGTATTATTTACATTATTCGGACTGTTATCCTCATCTTCATTGCCATATTCACAACGTTTCGGCCTCTATATTTCTGAGATGAGGTATTATGATTACTTGTATTATTTACATTATTCGGACTGTTATGCTCATCTTCATTGCCATATTCACAATGTTTCGACTGTTGTATGCTCTGGTTCGAACCAAAACCTTTATTTCGGCCACCAGGGCATATTGATCTACTTCCACATGTCATGCCTCTTCTGGATGTCTCAAATATTTCTCTTTCAACTCAACTCTCCATGTTTTGGTTCGCCATTGCTGTGGCCTGGTATCCTCAAGGAGACATGGCCCAGTGGATAAAGACGTCGGTTAGATCCAGTGACTAGACCCAAAGTTGTGTGTTCAATACCAGGCCAAAGTAGTGGTGAACACAAAATTGGAGAGTTGAGTTAACGTGAAATAACTAAAACATCCAGAAGGAACATAGCACAAGAAACTAAAACAATTTATCCCGGTGGATGAAATAAAGGTTTCGGTTTGAAATTCCAATCACCTGAAGAAGGCCGAAGCAAACAACGGCTGAAATGTTGTGAATATTGGCAATGAAGATAAGGATAACAGTCTGAATAATGTAAATGATGCAAGCAGTTCTCACCAAATATGTAAGATTCTGTATTGTGACACTATTTAGGGTTGCGTGAAAAAAAAAGGGCGAGAATTAAATTAGGTGATAAGAAGCTATCATGAAAAGACACTGAGCGATGTTATTTTTTCTAACAAAGATAAGTGGTAAAGATTTTATTTTCATTAGCAGGATCTAACCAGATTCCCATCTGAATCAGCAAAAGGTTAGAACGTCACATTTGTCGTCGCAGGACAGGATAGGACGGTGACGATGTGGAGACAGATGGGGTGACGTCACAGTATACCAATAAAGTTCTTCTATTAGATCAATGCACTCAGTGGATTCGGATCTTGGAAGGTGGATTCTAATGGATGAGAAGAGTTAGTCTCTATTGATGTGGTCATATGCTGCTGTAAGGCTGACATAACTGGTATACAATTAGTACACTTTCTATAACTCTTCCCCCATGTAAATTACTCTCTATCTCTCAAGAAAAGTTTTATACTTTAAATTGAATTTATGGTCAATTTCTTTATAATGAGTAACTAATATATCCATTTGCATTATTACAACAAAAGGTTATAGACAAAATATATGCAGTGTATTACAGAGGCAGATTTTTTTTGACCATCTCATTGTCTTTTAGGTAACCGATGATTGGGACATGATTGCATTTAATATTAACAAAAATAGTGTTGGTAAGTTGATCAGCACAAAAGCTGTTGGAAGTGATGAACGAGATAATATCACCTGTTTGTACAAGTATCCTGAAGGTATGTTAATTTATTCGATGTTTTTGTTTGAATTAATCTAGAGTTTTCTGAATAATATAAAAAGTTTTCTTTTATATGCCATCAACTTGGTGCCTATCTGTGGTGAGAGCAGTGGTTAGTAAGCTAATTATGCAGACCATTATTAGTCAAGGGAGTTCAATGCACACCGGGTGCTTACACTTTTTACCTTGTGTTGTACTAAATGAAACTTTGTAAACATCGGTAAAATACATTGCAGTGGAATTAATATTAATAGAAAATGATTAACATGTGTGCTATAAAATAGAGAAGTTCTTATTTTCTTTTCTTCTTACAACACAAGAACTTGTGGAAATATCTGAGATCAAAAATTAATCGTTCGTGTTTTGTTGTTCTTTAAAGTCTCTTAGAGTCATGGAGAAATTTCGGCAACCGTGTGTTGTTGAAAGCATTATCGCCAAATTGAGAATCATATTCTGATACAGTTTCTTCAGCGGTCAAAGGAGCAGGCTGTGGTGGCACACAGTTGTATGGAGTGGGCTTCTGGTGAGACACAGTTGTGTTCATTTTTCTGGAGAAGTAAACTGTTCTGAAGCAGTTTGAAAATATTCTCATTATTTAAAATGCTTTGATGGAATCACGCACCTGTGCGTTAGATCCACAAATTTCTTACGAAGTGACAGTATATTTTTTGTACACCTGACTGGCCAAAAAATGTGGTTGAGGGTTTTATTTTCTTAGAAAACATGCATAGGCATTTTTTATGCCAGATTAAGAAGTTTTGTGAATATTGTAGCATTGTCACTGTGGAGCAACTATTAACAAATTTGGTCTACTTCCATCTTGTAGCATAACTATTCAGATATTCCAGACTGAGCTGGTAAGATATCAAATGCCCTGATCTAATATCTATAACTGCCTTCACATTTTCAGGCACCTATTTAGGGTGTTACATGCAGTGGCTCTTTCAGAAAAGACAATCTGATTGTGTCAGCCATTTTGACCAGTTCTTTTTCCTAGCAGGCTAACAAGTGTAACACTACTTGGTACTAAATGTTGCAGTCCTTGATACTAGTTTAGTAACTGTCATTGGTTCTAAATTTTATAGTTACTAATTTGTAAAAGTTTGTGTTTTAGTTACTACAGTTACTAATGAATAATATTTCTTGAATTGAATTATTAAAATCTTTGATACTAAGTGCTTCTTTAATTAATTCATAAGAGTTTTTGGTTATAATTGCTGCAGTTATGAACTAGTAACAATTCTTAGTGCTAAATGCTGAAGTTAAGTGATGCTTCTAGCCTTTGATTGTGCACAGACTTCCACTTGCCAAAATCTTTTAGTCCCATCCCAATTCCTTGCTTTCAAATTTGGCCAAAACATGTTGTATATAAACTGAATATAAACAGCATTTAACATATGAAACTCTTGAGGTCAGAAATCTTACTGATTTTTGTCTGCTTTATTTTTTTCAGGCAGTGAGGATGAAAGGAGAGTTGTAAAATTTGTGAATCAGTTTAGTTCTCGAGCGGAAGATGACATCTATGATTTGGATGTTGTCAAAGATGTAGAATTTGAATTTGAACCCCCAACAAAAGCAGAAGTTGGAGAGGGCTTTGAAATAAAACTGAAGATGAAATCTCTGTCTGACTCAGTCAGGAAGATTGATGTCGTTGTAACACTGATGTCATCTTTTTATACTGGAATCGCAAAACAGGAGATAAAAGCCAAAAACGAAACAATTGAACTCAAGCCCAAGAAAGGTGAGTTAATAATTCATTGTTTTTTGTTGTTGAATAAATTCACCATCAAAATACATACTGACAAAAAAAAGCACAGAGTGAATGAATATTGAAAACAGTTTATTAATTATTTTTAGCTTATAAAATGTTCTTGTCCTGGGTATGACGATAAACTACATCCGTGTCCTGGGTAAGACGATAAACTACGTTCAACAGCAAGGCCTCTAATCAGAAGGTTTTGAGAAGCCTGGAACCACCTTTTAATTACTGGTGTTCCCAGTTCCACCCTGACCCGGGGTGGTAGCACCTGTTAGGGTCCCAGCTATGGGCAAATAGTTAACACCCAAACTTGTGTAAAAATAGGTTTTAATACCAGAAATACATTGTAATAAAAAAAAAAATATTACTAGCAATAATTTTTGAAGGAAAAATTATCAGCAATACTTTAAAAAAAGATTACCAGCAATACAAAGAGCTATACATTCTTTGAAAAAAATATGACCAGCTATAGATTCCTTCAAGGAAAAATATTCCCAGTAATAGATTTTTGAAGAAAAACATATTACCAGCAATAAAAATTTTGTCAGCATTAAATAACCCATTGAGATTGATATGCTGTAAAACAAAACAAACCAAACCAATATATACTGGAATATATAGATTAAAAAAATTACCAGCAATAAAAATTTTGTCAGCATTAAATAACCCATTGAGGTTGATATGCCGTAAAACAAAACAAACCAAACCAATATATACTGGAATATATAGATTAAAAAATTACCAGCAATAAAAATTTTGTCAGCATTAAATAAACCATTGAGGTTGATATGCTGTAAAACAAAACAAACCAAACCAATATATACTGGAATATATAGATTAAAAAAATTACCAGCAATAAAAATTTTGTCAGCATTAAATAACCCATTGAGATTGATATGCCGTAAAACAAAACAAACCAAACCAATATATACTGGAATATATAGATTAAAAAATTACCAATAATAAAAATTTTGTCAGCATTAAATAAACCATTGAGGTTGATATGCTGTAAAACAAAACAAACCAAACCAATATATACTGAAATAGATAGATGAAAAATATTAGCAGCAATAAAAATTTTGTCAGCATTAAATAACCCATTGAGGTTGATATGCCGTAAAACAAACCAAACCAAACCAATATATACTGGAATACATAGATTAAAAAAATTACCAGCGATGAAATTCATGTCGGCAGTGAATAACCCATGGAAGTTGATATGCCGTAAAACAAAACAAACCAAACCAATATATACTGAAATAGATAGATTAAAATATTACCAGCAATAAAAATCTTGTTGGCATTGAATAACTCATTGAGGTTGATATGCCATAAAACAAAAACCAAACCAAACTTCTAAAATTTTCTTAAAAATTCTTACTTAAAAATTCTTACTTGTGTTTTTTTAAGTCTTATATATATTCATTAATTTTGAGAAAAGTCTTAGAATTAGAAAGATGGGGGATTTCATGTCTGAAATGGCAATCACAAGATTTTTGCCAGGAAACTGGAGAAAGACCACTCCAAAAGGAATGTGTCAGTTTGGGGCAGAAACCAAGAGCATTGGAAAACAAATATCCATAATGGATGCAAGAATAGGACAGTCAGCAACTGATAAGTTTAGTAATAATCCAATGAAAAGAAACATTATTTCAAATTATATTCCAATTCAATACTGTTTAACTGTCTAGTCAATGCTCCACACATAATACATTATATTCAGTGTAGCTTTGTAGTGATTGGTCAACAAGTCTACCATTACTGACAACATGGTATTGATTCCTGCACTTCAACTGGGTTAGACAACAATGCCACTGAACTGTAAAAAATTGGCACATTGTCACTAGATGAGTCAAGTTTTCAACTCTTTTGGGTATATAGTGGAGCTTATCTATGCAGGAGACCATAATAAGCCATAGATTTTTGCATTTTAATCTCAAAACAGAAAATAAAAATAAAAAAGAGACAATTGAACTCTTGGCCAAGACAGATGAGTCAATAAGTTTGGTTCTTGAATAAATTCAGTAGTAAAAAATAGTAAATAATAGGAAAGGTATAAAAAATGTCTAGCAGTATGTGAAAACAGCAGCTGTCCACAGTGGATTCAAGTATGGGGCAGCCAGCAACCCAATGAAGGTGAACATCTCAAATTATATCCCAATTCAATGCTGTTGCTGCTCAACCCACCAGTCAATGATTCATACATCATATACTATATTTGATATAGTTTTATATCTATTGGCCAACAAGTCTACCATTACTGACAACATGGTATTGATTCCTGCATTTCACCTGGGTCAGACAACAATGCCATTGGACTGTAGAAGACTAGCACATTGCCACCTGATCAGATGAGCCAAGTTTTCAAATCTTTTGGGCAGATAGTAGATCTTATTTATGGAGAAGATCATATTAAGCCATAGATTTTTGCATTTTATCAGGATTTTAAATTTCCCAGGAAATTGGAGAAAGGGTATTACAAGTGAAGTGTGTCAGTTTGGAGCAGACACCAGCAGCATGGGGAAACAGTAGGTGTCCACAGTGGATGCAAGAATAGGACAGTCAGCAACTGACAAGTATAGCAATAATCCAATGAAAAGGAACATTATTTCAAATTATATTCCAATTCAATGCTGTCAGTGCTCCACACAATGCTCCACACATAATACATTATATTCAGTGTAGTTTTGTGGTTATTGACCAACAAGTCTACCATTACTAACAACATGGTATTGATTCCTGCACTTCACCTGGGTTAGACAACAATGCCACTGGATTGTGGAAGACAGGTACATTGTCACCTGGTCAAATGACCCAAGTTTTCAACTCTTTTGGGCAGACAGTGGATCTTATTTATAGAGGAAACCACATAAAGCCATAGATTTTGCATTTTATCAGGATTTTAAATTCATGTCAGTGATCAGTGATAAGGTTTGTGAGATGGAATTTTCAAGGTGGCCATCCGCTTGACCAAAAGAAAATAAAATAACGGATAAATAAATGAAAACTTTCATGGTCAAGTGACAACAAATTGAACTTTGAAAAATTCAGGTTGTGGATATATATTAATGGTTACAGTGGGTATTAAGGGTAGTTCTGGACTGACCTTGGAAGGGGAAGCAGTGTCCCTCAAAGTATGGCGAAGATACTCATGACTAGGTGAAGACAAACTGCCAAGGTAATTCAGATACTACCTGTTGTGTGTCATAACATTTAGATAGATAGAGGAATGGTAAGAGAGTCAGAATTCTTTCTGGTTGAAAGGGAATAAACAAAATATATTGGATACAGGGTTCAAAGCCTTAATTCTTGCTGTGGAATTTGTTTTCACCTTTCATTTCCTTGTGAATGTGTAATGGGATTTTCCCAGTTTTGAATGTGAATAGATGTACAGTACGACGTTTCATTGTCTGGCAAATGGTCCAATTGTATGTTCATGCAAGAATTTTGCACCCCTTCGAGCTCATCATGTTTCCCACTATTGATGGTTTGTTCCAGTGATATAACACAACTTCCATATTGTGCATAAGGGACGTGACATAAATAAAAAATTCATTGGTTCCTGCAGTTAGATGTAAAAGCACATTGAGAATGTTTGAAGCATACTATAGGCCTTACTAAATTTATTCAACTACACCAACTGAGCACAGTTTCTTTATAGAGAGCTCTGGGAGGGACATGTCTGGAAATTCATCCAGTTACTCAAAGACTTTGTGACACTGTGTATCCATTGTTATTCCCATGAAAGTATGAAAGAAGAAAGTGGACCTAATTTTTTGGCACTTCTGTAATATAACAAATTAAAACTACAGATCCTCGAAGCAATCTTCATTAAAAAATTGAAGCCGACACTGGATAGAAGCAGCTACAAATATTGTAATAATATTCTAAAATGTCTATAAAAAGAACAGTTTTCACCTTTTAATGCACGTTCGACCTTGACATTCCAACATAAAAAAATTCCATAATGGGTAAATATTCACATTCTAATGAATGCTTAAGCATAACCTTCAGCCATAGCATTTAAACACAAAAGAAAAAAAAATTCAGTAAACATAGTTTTTGCCTTACCAGTTACCTTCCCTGATGATGATCTCAGAAAGAGATTGAAAGTACTTGGGAAATTTTTGTGATGTCAACGAAGACTTGTTACCACTTTTGTGATGTCAATGTATACCTGTTGTCACTTTCGGAATGCTTGTTGTAGTAGAGACTTTGTAATTGCAGATACAACTATAGTAAGCTGTTGAACAATAGTGGTGTCAGACGCCTTCGAATAGCACTTGCACTAACAGTACTTGTGTGATAATACTTGTTTGAACGTAACCACTGGATAGAGGAATAGTATAATGAATAGAGTAGAGAATAGCAGTCCATATAGTAATAGAGGATAGACTAAGAATAGTGATCCAAATAGTAATAGAGGATAGACTAAAAATGATGATCCAAATAGTAATAGAAGATAGACTAGAAATGCAGAATTGTATAGTATAGAGGATAGAATAGAAATGCGATCTGAATATTATAGAAGATAAACTAGAAATGCAGAACAATTAGACCTCCCACATATGCGTTTCCTCTATGGTCACATGGTCTACTTATTTCAATAATGGGATCACCTATGTTTACTCTCTGGTGATCTTTGTTCAAACTCAAGTGTCAACAGTGACACTTTATTCCTATATAACAGAAATAAAAAAAATGATTCTCACTGTGACAGTACATTTCTTGACTAATTCAATTGTAATATATGGAAAAATATTCGTGAATATGAAAGGATTATGATAAAAATAAGCAGACATAATTTATTCAATTTGACATGCCTAAAAGAGAATTTTCTGTCTAAATGCACAAATAATAACAATAATGTAGGGTGTATCAAACCAGTGTTGGGATAAAAAGCAACAATAATGAGATGAAGTAAAACTGAAAATAAAGTCATAGGAGAAATGAAAAGTATTTCAAGCCAGAATGTTGCGATAAAAACCTTCAATGATGAGATGGAGTAAAACTCAAAATAAAGCCAGAGTGTTGCAATAAAAATGCAATAATAAAATGAAGTGAATCTAGTAACAAAAGAAAAATAGTGAAAATCTTTTTTCTCTTAAATGTTAAAAAAAATGAACAGATGTATGTCGGAATATCATCATTAATAACTATTTATCAGTTGCCTTAAATGAATTTTAAAAATGCTTTTTTTTCTTTTTTCATTGTTTCAGAATTTGAATTTCAACTTCCTGTTGGTATTAAAGACTATGAGACTCATTTGGGTTCAGATGCCTCATTTACTGCATTTGTGAATTGCAAAGTACATGACACAAAGCAGTGCTTCATAACAGTAGAGAAAGTCACTTTGAAAATGCCGGATTTGGTTATTAAGGTAAGAGACGCACAATGTGCTTTTAATTCATCTTTGATCTTCGGTCTGAATTTCTGCGATGAAGAGTTCATGATTTACATGCGGGTCAAAGTCCTCATGTTTTTGTTATTACATCATTTAGTTGTTATGTCTTCTGGCCTTCATCAGGTGTTTATCGACCCAGGTAATCTACAGGGAATTTTGAACTAAACCCTTTATTTAATCTTGTTTCCATGTCTAGGGATATCTTGTTTTATTTTAGCACTGCTCAGTTATTGCTTGTCCCATTTCAACTGAGTACACACTGCCCAGTTCAGGGATTGAACCCACAATTACTATGTTACCAAATTCACAAACCATCACTTTAATCCACCATGTTATTGTCTCATTGGACAATTTTTGGGGGAGAATTTGTAGCCTTAAAACTAACCAGCCTCTTAAGGAGTGCTGTAACAAAAAAGAAGATTCAGGGAGTGCAGTCAAGCATACACATGGGTTTCTTGTGGCTTGTTGCATCTGATGTCCTTGTCAATATTAAGATTTATAGTGACTCTGATACACATGTATTCTGCGGCCTATCAATTGAGGGCCATGCCTGATGTCTTGTGATACTCTGTCGCATGTGCAACATATCAGCAGAATAGAATACAGGCAGTCCCCCAAAGTATACAGACATTTTGTTTAATAGCAACAAAGTTTATAACCAGAAAGTTAAATCAACCTTTTGATAATAAAGAATAAATGTTATAGAATAGAATACATGCTCTTTCTCATAATTTATAAACATTTTGTTTGTTAATAACAACAATGCTTATGACCTGAAAGTTAATTAAACCATTTCATAATAAAGAAAAAACATTATAGAATAGAATACAGGCTATCTCCAAAGATCGGTAGAGATTTTGTTTGTTAATAGCAATTATGATTTGAAAGTGAATTAAACCCTTTCATAATAAAGAAAAAAATGTTATAGAATAGAATATAGACAGTCCCCCAAAATGGATATGCATTTTGTTTGCTCATAGCAAATTGTTTATAACCTCATAATTAACTAAATTCATGATAATAAAAAAAAGGATTGTCCATTTTTTGATCTGACCAACAAGAATGATGACCTCTCACTGTGAAATGTACCGCCACCCCCACACATTCACGCCACAGTTCAACTCACTTCATCATTTCTCAAGTTTTTTTAAACCAGCCTGCCAACTAGTCCAGGATAAGGCAATGGAAAACCTTTTTAATCTGTTTCTCAATAAGCTATGGCAATTCAGATATTAAAAAAAGAAGCTGTGAAGAGCCACAACCGCCTATATTCTGATGGGACATTACATTAAAAATCAAACAAGAATGCTGACATCAGCTGTTCTCAATTGTGATTGCTTTCTCTTGTACTGTGAAAGTTGAAAGTGGTCATTTATTTATCTATTACTAAGAACTTGATGGGAATTCTAAGTAAATATGTTATATACCATAAACGTTGTTGTCATCGTATCATTGCTTCTCGTCGCCGAAAAATATTATTCGTATACACAATTCCTACAGTCACCTGTATAATACAACAATGATTATGACCTAGAAGTTAATGAAATATATAATTATTCTTTCAAAATAAAGAATAAATAATATAGAATTGAATACAGGCAACCCCACAAAAGTATATAGTCATTTTGTTTGTTAATAACCGCAATAGTTATGGCTTGAAAGGTAATTCAAACATTTCATTATAATGACTAAATGATACAGAATAGAATACAGGCTGTGCCCTAAAATGTATAAATATTTTATTTGTTAATAGCGGCTATGGTTATGATTTGATTGTTAATTCAAAATTGGTAATTCTGCTAAATGTATCTGTCTATATTTCTGAGATGAGGTATTATGTACACTATTTACATTATTCGGACTATTGTCCTCATCTTTGTCACCATATTTATCACAACATCAGTTGTTCTTGATTGTGATTGCTTTCTCTTGTACTGTGAAAGTTGAAAGTAGGCATTTATTTTTCTACAGGGTGAGTCAAAATTATGTTAACACTCGTATGAGAGAGGGTGTCAAATCAGGGGAGTGTGGTGGCCATGCCAATGCTCTGCCACAACCTATCCAACAATTTGGGAAACTTTGACCAAGACAAGTGCGAACAGTATGGGCAAAATGAGGCAGTGCAGCATCCTGTTGGAAATAGACTGCTCGTCTTATTTGTAGGGGCATGTTATCAATGGTAAACTCTTACAGCATTTGTAAGTAAGCATTTGCAGTCAGCGTTGGAGTTGTAATGAAATATGAACCAATTACACCCTGTGACTTCTGGTTATGGGGTATGATGAAGGATCGCGTGTATAACAAAAAAGTTAGAGACATCAAAGAACTCAAGGACAGAATAAAAGGTGTAATATCAAACATTCCCCATGAAATGTGTGTCAAGGCACTAAATTGTACTGTTGACTGCTGTTTTTTGTGCATCAATCATGTTGGTGGACAGGTGGAGACTGTTCAGGAAACTCTGAATAAATGATTCCTCTCATACTAGTGTTAACATAATTTTGATTCACCTTGTATTACTAAGAAGTTAGCTGTATAATCATCATACTTATTATAAAACCCAGGTTGTGTGTGTGTGTGTGTGTGTCTGTACGTTTATATATTGGATCGGATTTCCTACATTTTTCAACCGATTTCAACAAAACTTCACAGGACTATGTGAAATTACCTTGCGGTGGTTCTGACAGCGCCAAAAATTGAAAAACACAATTGTTTTTGCATGAAATCAATTTGAAAACACGATTAAGAGGCATCGCGAGAATGAAAGGGGGACAACTTATATCGAGTTATACTAATTATAAAACCCAGGTTGTGTGTGTGTGTGTGTGTGTGTGTGTGTGTGTGTGTGTGTGTGTGTGTGTGTGTGTGTTCGTTTATATATGGGATCGGATTTCTTACATTTTTCAACCTCAACCGATTTCAACAAAACTTCACTTTTTTTTTGGCAGGTAGTGTTTCTTGTTGTCTTGCACACCTTTTTCTTTATTTTTACATTCAGAATGCTTTTAAAATTCCATTTACAAGACAATTGTTTATAATAAAATTCTATCATCCTCTCCCTATTTGTTAAGTTGTGCTTCAACATCATCTTTTCCCTATTTGATAGAGTGCTTCAACATCATCTGCTTATTTCTCTCTTCTCATTCAAAGAATGCTAAAGCAATATCATATTAACTATATTTATCACAAACTTTAAATAAAATGTTGTACACTTTGTGACATGATGTCTCCTTTATTTCAGTGCCCCAAGGAAATGGAGAAAGGCACTGAAGCAAAAATGACCATCACCTTTACAAATCCATTGTCTCTGAATCTGACAAATGTTGTCTTAAATGTGGAAAGTTTAAAAGTTGTACCCCTAACAACATTCAGGTATTTCTGTATTCTTTTTTTTATATACTAATGTTCTCTTTAAACAAGGCACAAGAGCTCCTCAAGGTGGAGGTTTACTGAAGGAGATGTGTGAATGGTAAGAATAGTTAACCCTAGACTTGAACAGGTTAAGATTGTAGTGGTCGAGGAAGCATCCTTTTGGGTGTTGATTCCACAAGGTGGCTGTTCACAGGACAAAAGCTGTTTGAGTAAAACTTAATTTTCTCTAATGGGATACAAAGGGATTGTGGGTGGTTCCCAAAAATGTGTGACATGGTGCGTCCTAGAATTTTAGAATTGGTGGAACTAAAGAATGTAGCTAGTCTGAAGATTTTCCTTGGAAACAGCGATAGAGTAATAAATGGGTTACAATGTCTTGCCTTGTAGGTTGGAAATGAAAATCCTTCACAAGACTGGAAAATGAAGACTGTGTAGCTCCAGCCTAGATATGTCTGTAATACTCCAGTTTTGGCTTGATCTGGTTCTTGTAAAGGTAGAAGGTAACAGAAGGAGCCAGGCACTTACTGGAGTAGTACAAGGAACCAATCATTTTTACTGCATCTTTCGTGATGGATCATGTATACAGAGTGTCCATAAAGTTCGTGTGCACTTTAAAAAATTTATAACTTTATTTGTATTTGCGATAGAAATAATTTGTAAAAAGGATTAGAAAGAAGTAAATCTATATTTTTTAAGGTTTTATTGAAATTTTATTTAAGTTTCCACATGTCCTCCATCATTAGCAATACAAAGGGTAATACGATTTTGCAGTTCACGGAAAACATTTACCAACTGATTTACAGTAATTCCTGAAATCACGTTAGTTATTTTAGCTATACTTAAAACTAGGTACATTAAACTTTATAACATTCTTTACAGATTATTTCTATCGCAAATACAAATAAAGTTATAAATTTTTTAAAGTGCACACGAACTTTATGGACACCCGGTATAAGTCCCACCTGAGGTCTGGGGTGAGCTTAGTTCCAAGTGGGCACCCAAGGTAAGGGGGGTATTCATTGAGTTAAATTAAAATTCAGAGTCTGCATTGTGCTGACGGAATGTTACTAGTTTCTTTCTTTTCTTTTTTCTTTGAGGTATTGAATGGTGACCAGCCAGTTTTTCTCCCTTTGAGCTGTTAGAGCTAAATCCAAGAAGAGATCAGCTGCCTGATTCTGGTCATTTAAAATTTTGTTGGTGCAACGCATATAGTGTTATATAATCTGCATAGATATTCGCTGCTCTTAAGTAGATCATTAATGTAAAGCAAAAAGAAAGTTTGAATAAGCAGCAAGCCTTGAGGGGATGCCTGCATTGATCTCATGGGTCTCGGAGGATGGCTGTTACCAACTACCTTCATGGGCCTATCCATTTCAAAGGACTTGATAATTGAGAAGACTCTTCCAGTGATGCCATCGCTGGTGAGACTGTGTAGCAACCCTGTATGCCACACTTTGTCAAAAGCCTTCAATATATCTAATGCGGACATCTTTGAAATCTATTCTCTGATACCTCACTAATTCTATGAGTAATAATAGTTAGGACATAGTTGATTGAAATCTGTATTGTTTGTCACTAAAGATGTTGTCTTTATTGAAGTGATCAACAATGCTTTTATAGCCTCAAAGAGACTGCTAATGATACTAAGGAAGCCGCTATTGAGATGGGAAGGAGCACGCAGCCACATTCTTGAAAAGGACAATAAAATTTTCAAAAGATTGAAGGTGATTTTTGAGGTCACCCACCATCAGTGGTTAACTTAGAGAGGAGAAAACCATATTGCTTGCCTGAAAATGTTGTCCTTATTGAAGTGATCAACAATGCTTTTATAGCCTCAAAGAGACTGCTGATGATACTAAGGAAGCCGCTATTGAGATGGGGAGGAGCACTCACCCACATTCTTGAAAAGGAAATAAAATTTTCAAAAGATTGGTCATTTTTTAGGTCACCTGCCAGTTTGGTTTTATCAAACCTATTAGACTTACTAGTAAGACATTTGTCATCAGTATCAATACAGAGTTGAGAACTGATGACATTGAGAAGGTGATTGATGAAAATAAGATTCCATGTAAGTCCAAGAATAGAGCCCTGTGGGAGACCAGCTTTAATGTAAAAAGACATTTAGCTATTCAAGTTAACTTTCTTTAAGTGGTTTGATGAAAAATATTGAAAAAAATCAAAGAAATGGTCAGAAATACCATAATCATTCAACTTGTGAAGAATATCCTCTCAAATGCAGTCAGAATATCTAAAGAAACAGTCCATAGTTTGCTATTCTTCTCTAAAGCTTGGCACCCTTTCATCAATAACCGTCAACACATCAGTGGTTAACTTAGAGAGGAGAAAACAATATTGTTTGCCTGAAAGAAAATGTTGTAAGCAATTCAGAGTTAGTGCTTTTAGTCAGTCAGTTAGTTATGAGCCATGTGTGATACACGCTTAGGCGATCATGTATCTTTTGATACATGACTGTCAAGGAAGATTTATTCCTGCAGTAGGTCACTGTTTCTTTCTGCAGTAGACCAGTTGCCATCCTGCTATTTACCCATAGATGGGGGGAAAAGAAGGGGATTCATACCTTTCCCGAGGGTATCAGCACATAAGTGAATGTAATGGATTTGAATGGAAAGTCAGTCAGTCAGTTATGTGCCATGTGGGATAGATGCTTAAGCGATCACATATCTTTTGGTACATGACTGACAAGGTACATTATTTCTCGCAGTAGGTTGCCATTTCTTTCTGCGGTAGACCAGTTGCCATCCAAGGCTATAGAACCTGGTCTGTCCTGCTATTTACCCATGGGGGAGAAGAAGAGGTTCATACCGTTCCCAAGGGCATTAGCACATAAGTGAATATAATGGATTCGAATGGAATTCAAACTCAGCTCTCTGATTCTTCAACTTGAGCTGCTATCGATTACTCTACTGTGCCTCCCAGAGCTTCTAGTACTTTGCCAAAAAGAGGCAGAAGACTAATAACTGAATTCAAAGGATCATTTTATTTACCAGAGTCCTTAAAAACAGGAACTACAGAAGAGGGTTTCCAACAAGCTGGGAAGCAAAAGCAGCAGGATATTTATTGTAGATCTTGGAACCAGTTCAGGAGCAAATTTGGTTAGGATAATTGCAGAGTTTTGGGGAATTGTTTGGAGATCATAGCAGAAACCATGGATAGAGTTTTATTCATTAATTATTGACTACAATTTGGCCTTGTATCGTTATGATGTAAAAAATGTTCTTTCAGACCTTATTCTGCAAAAGTGGCAAATTGACATTAAGCACATTTGATTTTATATATTACTGAATACATATCCAAGAATGATTCTATCTTTACTATTAACAATGCCACTCAGAAGGTGATCTTACTTATCAATTAACTTTTTGAATAAGAAAGATTTGGTTGGCAAACTGTTGAAGATTGATTATTTTTTTCAAGATCCTTTTCAAACATCAGACATTTTATACTGAACACATTCATAATGACAGACAATGTTTAAAACTATTTTTGATTAAACACACTTTTTCTTTAAACAACTGACAATGTACAGTGTAATGTAAGAACATCTGCTAGATTGGTGGAATGCAAGATTATCTGCTAGAGTAGCAGAATGCAAGATCATCTGCAAGATTGGAGGAATACAAGATCATCTGCAAGATTGGAGGAATACAATATCATCTTCAAGATTGGTGGGATACAAGATCATCTGCAAGATTGGAGGAACACAAGATCATCTGCAAGATTGGAGTAATACAAGATAATCTGCAAGATTGGAGGAATACAAGATAATCTGCAAGATTGGTGGGATACAAGATCATCTGCAAGATTGGAGGAACACAAGAAAGTACATGACCTTCTGCTAGATTTACAAAGCAGCCAGTGACAACCTATAACATTTTACTACATATCAAGAGTGAGTGACAAATAAAAAGCAACAATTTAGTTTGCCATTAGAAAGTATTAATATGAATCTATGACATATACAAAAATTTCTGATAATGCAAAATATTTTGGTTGAAAAGAAAATAAGTTGTAGCAGAGGAATTTTAGAAAAATTGCAACTTGACTTGGAATATCTTTCTGAATAAGAAAGCTGTGGTTATTAACTGTAGAAGATTGATTATTTTTTTCAAGATGCTTTTGAAATATCAGATATTTTATACTGAACACATTAATATAGACAGATAGACAATGTTTAAAACTAGTTTTGATTAAACACATTTCTTCTTTAAACAACTGACATAGGACAGCATATGCTGGCAATGTTGTTGAAAAACAAAAACTAGTTTAATTTTAATGTGAACTTTCTTTTCTTTTTTTGCAGGGAAAAGTTTTTGCCACCGAAGAGTAAATTTGTTAAGGAAGTGACATTGCATCCCAAATCATGTGGTTATAAACGTGTTGTTGCAATTCTTTCCTCAGATCAGTTGAAAGGTATTGAGGGTTTGGGAAAAGTCCGTGTTTTTTGAATCGTTGAGTTACTTTCCACTCAAGTGCTGAAGTTCAAGTGAAACATTACAGTTTTGTGTTTTTTGTGTGTTTTTGTTTTGTTTTAATACTTTCTGGGGTAAAGGATATCAAATAATCATGAATTTTTGATTTTAGAATATGCCTTTTTATTCACTTAAAAATTTAAAGCTGATAGTTTAAAATGCAAGGAGAGTTAATATATTGATTTTCCAAGCGTAGCTTAGATGTGGCACAAGGCCAAAAGTAGGAGGCACCCAGTGAGGATCGAACTCACTATTCAGTCGTAATTGTTCTAGCGAGACAAGCTTGCTACCCATTACACCGCCTTGGGGTGCCCAAAGGAGAGTTAATATATACTCAACAACCAATCAATTTAATGCATGAAAATTTTATTTTGATAGATGACTTGATAGTCCTTCTGGGTTGCTTACGCTAACTTCAATCTGCTTTTTGTAGGATTTACTTTAGAATTGCTGTTATTCCTTTATATAATCACTTACCATTTTACTGGTAAACCATTTTTGTAAAGCAAATAAATCAAGCTTTTACTTTTTAATAATTCCTGAAACTGCTAATGAAAAATCCATTTGACACAATATTTTTTATAAATATGAAAAATCCATCAAAATCAGCAATGCGTTGGTAAAAAATCATAAAGTCACAAGATTTGCTTCAGAATTGTCATTCCTATAAATTTTAATGTGAAAAAAAAATAAAAATTTATAAATTGTAATGGATTTCTATATAAATTGCAACATGATAAAAATCCATTTGACATTCAGAATATTTCTTTAATTATCTATTGATAAAATCCATCAAAAATCAAAAGCTATAAATTAGTAATGGATTCCTGTAAATCTTCTAAAGTTGGTAAAATCAGTCATAATCACAAAATAGTCAAAATTGCTATAAAAATTAGTATTTGTGAATTTGCTATTAAAATTGATAAAGCTTTCAAATTATTCTTCTAAAATTTGGATTTGATAAAATCCATCATAATCACAAAATAGTAAAAATTGCTACTCAAAATTAAAAATGGGAATTTGCTATCAGAATTACTAAACCTTCATTATTCTTCTAAATTTGAATTGTAAAATTAGCAAATTTACTGTGACTTTTTTTGCAAGGAAATAAATTTTAAAATATTGGAATTTTTTGTCTTTGATTACACATTCTTGAATTTTTGCTTCTCATTGTCATTTTTTGTCTCTTAAGAATATTTTTGCCCTTCTGTCTAGAATCTCTGAGATGAGGTATTACGATTACTTGCATTATTTACATTAATCAGACTGTTATCCTCATCTTCATTGCTATATTGACGTTTTGGCTGTTGTACACTCCAGCCTCCAGATGATTGAAATTTTGAACCAAACCCTTTATTTTGCCCACTGTCCAATAAAGGGTTTGGTTCAAAATTCCAATCATCTGAAGAAGGCTGGAGTGTACAATGGCTGAAACATTGTGAATATGGCAATGAAAATGAGGATAACAGTCCAAATAATATAAATAATGCAAGTAATTTTTGTTCTTGTTAAAAAAAGAATTTGTCTTTTATTTAATTGTCTGATGAATATGAATGGTAGCTTAATGCTTGTTGATTTAGAAAAAGAAACTGAGTTTAAAACTGCTTATACCACAGGCATGAACCTACATATACATTGTTTCTATCATAAATTATATTATTATTGTCATGCCTTGATAGTAAATGGGTCCTGTCAGTGGAATTTCTGTCATATTCTTTTTATTGAATAACAAAAGAAGCCTTCCAAAAACTAAGCAATGGAAAATTTCTTTAGAAACAAAGAACTGAACTCTGAACTGGAAAATTTTTTTAGAAACAAACAACTGAACTCTGAAATAGAAAGTTTCTTTAGAAACAAAGAACTGAACTCTGAAAAGGAAAATTTCTTTAGAAACAAAGAACTGAACTCTGAACTGTTATGTAATTTCATTACGCCTCTATGACAGTGAATGCTCGAACAGATTTAAACAATGGAAATGTGGTTCTAAAGATGAATGCTGAGAATACCATGGACTGAAAACTGGAAACAAAAAGGACCTTTATACTTAGCACAAGAAAGAGACAGCTGAAATTTCTAGGGAACATAAAGAGGATGGATGACTTGGAAAATTTGACACTCACAGGACATTGAAAAAAAAGAGGGACAGATGCAAACAATGGATAATGAATCTAGTAAGCTTGTGTAAATGGATGTCAGAACAGGGTTTAGGAGAGATAGCGTAAAGACAACATTTACTAAGAGCTACAAAGGAAATTGTGAAGAGCCATGATTGACAATGTACTGAAGGGACGTGGCACATAGAAGTGGAAGAAGCAGCACTGATCTATAAGTGGATATCACTTTCTGAATAATGCGCTAGAAAAGGCTTAAAATCTCCACCATACTCTGTTGCTATCTCCAACTAAATTTATTATAATTATCCAGAATATCTGCTATATTCATTGTTAACCTTGACAAACAAAGGCCAGGGATTAACTTTTGATAATAATATAAGTTGATTATCAGATTTTACTGACCTCTTCATAAATGAGATTTTATGTCTTGGGAGAAATTTATGAGTAACAATCGTTACCTAGCCAGCATCTGTCCTTTGTTTGATATTGAAATTTACTAAGTTATTAGCACAGCAAAAGTTAGTGTTGGAAATATAGGGAGAAATTTTTTTTCTTTTTAAATATTTTTATCACTTGAAACTGTTTTCAAATCTATATTCCTGGAACAAGGAGGTAACTATTTACTTTACTATTACTTCACCAAATAGGACGATGTCGGTAAAAAGAAAAAAACAACAACAATTCAACCGAAAACGTTTCATTAAAAATAGATATTCGGTTTTGTAAAGGACCCCCCCCCCAAAAAACAAAAACAAAACAAGCTAACTTAAAACCAAGGATTTAAGGATTAATTCCACTATATAACAAGCGATAATTTAGCATCCTGATACCACTTTCTTATCGATGATGAATTTTGTACAAATCTGTGCAAAAAGTGGATCAAAGAGCTTGCCCAGCTTCATACAGATTTTCCGGAAACATCAGCTTCTAATTGGTCAAAAAACACACAAGTGGGCTTTGAAATCCGCCCACGTACAAATATTTTCCAGTGCGTGACCAAGTTAAGTTTTCCCGCTATTTTCCTGGGAGCCTGTCACGTGATTACATTAATTATAAATAGCAGACACGAGCTTGCTCACTCTCTTTTCTCTCTTCTCTTTTCCCGCAAAGATGTAACCTTAAAGGATCCCGTCTCGACCATGGGCGGTCAGACGTTAAAAACATATTCATGCATGGACGTACATACGAAATTTTCCAAACTACATTACAAACATATAAACATTTCCAAACAAGCAACAAGAACTTTTTTCTTTTAAATACTTTTTTAAAGCTACAGTTTATTCGGCATTTCTCAGCTTTATAATTCATTCAACCTTTGTGAGCTCAGATAAAAATATTTCAATCTCATCAGTAAAACTTCAATTCAGACAACGGGAGATAACACCAACAAAATAGTAACCTCTACGCATGTATATCATTACACAAAAATAAATATAAATGTTGTTGTTGTTATAAAACCGTTTTTGTTCCTTCTTGTGTTTCATATTTTGTCGTATTTTACATTAAATATAAATCGTGTGGTCATGTTAATAAACAGACATCGACAAATGGTCCTAAATATTAATATACCACGACAATAAATTTATAAAACTGTACACGCAACAACACGTGTGTGTGTGTATATATACCCAAGTATATAATTGGTGTATACGGAATGAATTCCAATAACCAACAATTACTATTCTTAAAAGAGTGCTCAATACAGAGTAGAGCAGATATAACTATTTATTTAAAAAATTATAACATAAATATGTTATAAAATCACTACAAAAATAGCCATTTTGTTTCAACACCCCCGGTGTCTTATCAAGTGATGATGTTGAACGTAAAATAAATGGTTTTAAAAGTTTCAAATTAATTAACGATCCCTCGCAAGGGGAAAACGTTGTTACAAAAGCTAGAATGACCAATCAAAATACAAGTATAGGAAAATTCAAAAAGCTTGATAACGAAGTCATGTTATAATAGCTATTCAGATCTTTAAAATAGGGGTAATATTAAAAAAGAATTTATTCTAACCAATAATTATTAAATTATATGATAAAATTTGATATAAACATTAAAAGTAAAAATTAACAATTTTAAAATCTAAATTTAATCACTATTAAGTTTAAAATTATAAAATTACTGAGGAGAAAAGAAAAATTACATATGTTATTCAATTTATTTCTTCATTGAAATTACGTTAGAATAGACGCTTATCTGTCATCCGGTCCTCTGTCAATATATATGTATACATTTAAAGTGTGTGAATGGGGTCCTAAACTCACGCGTAAAAACACACTCAGATTATAATACATAAGCACCAAGACATATTTAGATATATATACACACAAAAGTGACGAGACAGGAAACGTCTCCACGGCCCTATCTAAAAAAAACAAAAGAAAAAAGGAAACAAATACATGCATACATACACAATTAAAAGTGAATGCACATTCCATACACATATACACCGATAAATACATGTACACACATCCACATACATTGACTTAGACAATCAGATACCACATCCAAGAAATATTTAAGATTGAAAGTGTCACTAACAAATGCTAACCACTTATTAAAATATAACTTAAGAGAGCAAATATACAAAGATAAAAACGGTTAAAAATAATATTATTTGATATATTAAAAAATTAAAATTCCAAACCCGCAAATATCTATAAAAACATATATTTTAATCATATAAATTGATATATTATATATTAGGTGAAAGAAAATAAGATAAAGAAGAACTACCTACAGAAATAAGTATACAGTCACACGTATATATATATATACACATACACAGAAATATATATATATATATATATATATATATATATATATATATATATATAAATATATAAAAAAAATAAATAAAAAAGGCTTAAACACTAATATTCTATGGTCATAATTTATTCCATTGGAATCGTAAATACGATCCAATTCATCAGACCTTATGTGTATATTTACCACTAATATTATCTATTCATCTATCTATCTATCTATCTATCTATCTATATATATATCCTAATACAGGTTGGTATAGATGGAATAAAATTCCGATAACCAAAACACTATTCTTAAATACAAAGAAATAATTCTCAATTAAATATTCTCAATACAAAGTAGAGCAAATATTATTTATTCAAAAATTATAACAGAAGCATATCCAAGCGTATTATTATATAGCTTCCCCTCTCTCTCTCTCTCTCTCTCTCTATATATATATATATATATGCACGCACATACATAATAGTTTACATACGAACGCGCAACCTTTTTAATTTTCCATATATATTTTCTTATCTCTAAATAATTTGCTTATTTTCTGAAAGAGAAATATGCAGTCTCCTGGAGAATTCAACCCCACATTCCCTGGGCTGAGGGAACCGGCGTTAAATCCGACATGCGTTTACCGACTCAGCCACGAAGGACTTTTGCTCGAGTATGGCTGAATAGGGGGACACATGTTCAAATCCTCATTTTTCTTTAATAAAAATCCTCGAATATTCAGGCCGAGAGACGAAAACAAATAAATATACTGTTTGATATGAATGTCCACTAAAAATAACGTAAAGTGATAAAAATCTGCCGGATTAATTAATAAATAAATAATCCATTAATTTGGAAAATATCTATATGTTTAGAAAAAAAATCAAGAAAAGAAAAAACGACAACATATTTTCATGGTTTGTACATTGAATAATCTTAATTTATAAAGAGTATGTCCTTCGAGATGAAATGCTGGATGATATGATTGATCTCAGGGAAGAGAAATTTTCGAACAAACTATTCAAGGGCAATAACTTTTGCAAAATATATGGAGTAATGTGCCTTTACTTTTTAGAATGTTTCTTATAAACACGTCTTTCTGTTCAAAATAGACATGCACTTGGTTTTTACTGGCTTAGAACAAATAGAAATAACCTTTATGCCAGTTCGTATCACTGTGAAGACAGTAAGTCCGACCGTTTATATATTTTGCTTCAATGGAAGCGACATGCAACATCACCATATATATTTCTTAAGCATTGACTTATCCGAGTTATCTCCCTTACGATAGACAGCTAAATGAAAGGCAGGCTCTCCTTGGGGATTGACAACAGGCTTTCTTTTAAAATTCCCAGTTTACCAACTACGACAAATGCTTGAAAATGGCAAGATATTGTAACAGTAACAAAAGGATGAATAAATTAGTCTGAGGAAATGCGTGTATAATAATGATAATTCCCTGTTTTAAAATTTAGATAAAAATTAAATGAATACCTTGCTGTGATATAGTCCACACACACACACACACACACACACACACACACACACACACACACACACACACACACACACAAACACAATTAGAACTATAGCGATTTTGACTGTCTCTTATTTGCAGCCTTGTGTCAGACCTAACTCCCTGTAGCAAGATTTCCTATGAAAAAGCCCTTAGCAGTGATACTGAGCAAAGTCCTTACTGGTTTTTCTATACTTGTGACCTTGTCCCAAACGAAGCTAAACTTGGAAAATAACAGCAGCAACAGAATAAAGGGAGCATTTGGATAGAAACGATCTTTTGTAAATACTTTACTTACTTAGATAGTACATCTTATTAAACAGAAATATCCCCATCACTTTATTGCCCGTCGACTAGTTTAAAGGTAGACAACCCATGCTGTTTTAAAAAAATATGAAATTGTCTCCCTTGAATTTTAGATTTTAAACTTATAAATATCCCACATCTTCCTGCCGGAGTTAGCTCCTACCCAGCTCCTTAACCCTTCACCAGGGGTCTCTCTCCACTGGCTATAAATACTGGCTGACCCTTCGCCTCGATCTCTTTTTTTCCTCAGGCCTTCGGCCTTATACCACCTTCCAGATGAGCAATACACGTACGTACGAACACTCACCACAACACACACACATAATATTCCCCACACGCACTCAATGTAACTGTCTATGTGCTTATAACTTGTAACTTGTTATTAATAAATATATTTGTTTACATATATTTATCGTTCTTGTTTTATCTTTGGACTGAAATTAAAGTCCAACTTTCTCATGTAGTTGGATCGGCTAGCAGGAAATTTTAACCCACATGTGTTTTACATACTCATCACCCAACGGTCCACTACATTATTAAAACCCCATTTATTTTAAAAACGCAATCAGATATTTTTTTTACAAAGCCTCACTAGGAAAAATGCTTTTTAGTCATTAGATTCCAATGAATGGTTTGATAAATGAAAACTGAATGAGTGGTCTACGTCGTAAAAGATTCGACAAGCGATTGATATTGAAATGATGGTTTACATAAAAAATAAAGTCAAATTTTCTGTAAAAAAAATGCTTGTAGTCTTGGAGAATTTATACAGTGAATTTATTAGATTGCTTAGAACTCAATATAGAAGCAAGGTTTTTAGTTAATATGAATGGATACTTTCTAAACATACAGCATATGGTTTAATGGTTTTAATGTCAGAGACTATGTAAAGGACGAGAGTCCAAATTTTTTGGGGTTCAACCGAAGATGTAAAGAAAAACAAAGACCGATATATATATATATATATATATATATATATATATATATATATATATATATATATATATATATGTTTCATTAAAAACAACAGACAAGATATTACGGTTAAGCTTTTTATTTAATTTTTTCTTGTGTTCTAACAAGATATATATATATATATATCTTTTCTGGTCAAAGGGTGTGCAATAAAAACTGTCCAAATGTTTTATATTTCCGAGCGTATGTGTGTATAATGTTCATGGCGTCTCCCACAAATGGGAAGACGCGGATCTTCTAAGAGAGCTTACATTTTAGTCGCTGAAATGAAGAAATGAAAAAGAGTACGAGACAATAAATATTTAAAAAATAATAATTAATAATAATTTAATAATTAAATATTTACTAAAAAACGACCACGCCACGCAACAAAACAGGTGAGTCCCGTAACAGTCTCTAAAGGGGGTTCGATGTGATGACGATTGGATGTGCGAATGTTTCAAAATTGCCTCCAAACTGTATTTTTATATGAAAATTAATCTTTCTTTCAATTCGAAATAACGTCAGGCCATTGTCTTTCAAATAAAACCGATTTTTAATTTCAAAGAAGGCATTTCGAATGATTTAAATGCATTCTTGAAGATTTCTTTTTAGCTTTAATTGAAAGCTAAATGATTAAATTTACTATTTTCAGTAAGAAAAATACTCTGGCGTATTTCAAATAAAAATTATATTTATTGAAATCAATTTTTTTTGTTACTTTCAGTAAAATTAAAACAGGCCATTTTGACACATTTGTAAACAGAAGTTAACTCTCGGTTTAAAAAATCTTCCAAAAATAAAATATACTTTTCTGAAATTTTATTTGAGGGATATTAGCTGATTTAAAGTATAATTAATCTTATTTGAAAAAAAAAATAATTTAAATTTAAAATAAGAAAGAAATGGATTTTTAAATCAAACAATGGCGGTGATTACGTGCTTGTCATCGCTCGTCCATCACGTAATAAGTGCTGATAAATCTGTCAAGACCGTTATTGTTGTTGTACGGAGACTTTGTCTGTTAAAACATAATTTAAGAAAATGACGGGTGAACGCTTTTTTTATACAATATTTAATCAGTAATCTTAAAAATGTTGGAAGATATTCAAATTTTAGGAATGTTGACATTAAATTTACTACAGATATCGCTCTTATTTTCTGATAATGTCGTGTATGGTCGACCATACATTCAAGCATGGGTATATTAGGTAAAATTTTAATTACATAAAAAAATTAAAAATTATATTAAAATCTTGGTGCAAAATAATTTATATTAAGCGTTTCAAGTTTTGCTTAGTAAATATAGTTTTCACTTATCAATATCACATAACCGGGTGAAATTAATGCAGAATTTTAAAAGATTTATATATTATAAATTATTATAATTAAAATTAAAAAGATAATGAAAACAATTTTAAAAGATTTATATATTATAAATTATTATAATTAAAATTAAAAAGATAATGAAAACAATTCTTGTAAAATTTTACTATTCATCAAAATTTTTTTAAGACAATAGAATTGATTTAATTTATTTTTAAATAAATGCTGAAAATTTTATCTAAATCCGACGATTATCTGATTTTTGCAAGAATTCTTAAGTCAAAATCTGTTTTTCACCGGAAAAAGACTTTTAAAAATTTCCGTACAAATTTATGGCCTGCATTGACGCCAGAAAAACAAGATTTTATCCAAAATTTGGAAGGTTCTAAAACAATGATTCCCAACGTGGGGCGCATGCTCCACCGGTAGGGCATGGTAATATTTTAGTGGGACATGTGTAGGATGTGCACCCTTCAACTTACTATACCAACAGAATAAGGGGGGCAATTCGAGAATGAGTTATTAACAGTGAATTGTTTTCTAGTGAGCCTGAGTGAGAGTGTTAATGTTAATGCATGGTAATACATACGATGTATATACAGTATGCATACATAAAAAATTCAACCACCATTGCAAGAAATTTGTTGTTACCATTTCCATCTTCATATATAGCTGAATGTGGCTTTAGTGTTGTAAATGATTTGTTATTGAAGAAAAGAAATCAACTGGATATCACTAAACGAGGAGACTTGAGGTTTAAGCTGACTAAATTGGTGCCTAATATAAAATCTATCTGTAGCAGGCATGACGCATAAGGATTTCATTAACAGTCATTTTGTAATGAGCTCAAATTTCATTTTGCATTATTATTTCATGATTAAAATAATCAAAGTATATTACAGAATAAACTTTCATTCAAATATTTTATATTTCTGCCTTTCAGTTCTTTATTATGTTTTAAAACTATTTATATTTAACTGTCTTTTCGTTTTTTTAATTTTTTCTCTTTCATGGACGCCATAGTCTTTGGAGGCTTGTTTAGAGACCAAATTAATGGCCTTTTAAGCTTCCTTCACGTGAATCGCAGTAAAATTTTGAATATGTAAGAATTAAATATTACAAGGTTGGGGGACAACAGAATTTTAGAAATATAAAAGTGGGATATGACCCAAAATCGTTTGGGAACTATTGTTGTAAAAGGATTAAAAAAAAAAAGAAATTATATAAAAAATCTTTCTTCTTAATAATAGCACAAGAATTTTGACGATAAAAATTTATTTTTATTAAGTTTTGATCATTTTTTCATCATGTATGTTCATTTGTTAGCGAGTATTTGGAGGTACATATATATATATATATATATATATATATATATATATATATATATATATATATATATATATATATATATCATACAATCGGAATTAAGATGCCATTATGTAAATGATGATTTTCACCTTGTAAAATTAAATTTATAGGATTTTTCAAACAGTCAAAGGATGATAAAAATTTGAAAAAAAAAAAAAAAAAAAAAAAGAAATCAGACAAGGAGGAGAAAAGGAAGGAAGAAACACATGGGAAAAAAGAAGATGAAGAATAGAAAGAAAAGGAAGGTAGTAAAAGAAACAGGAAGTGATGTAAGTCTTGATATGAGTGGTGGTCAGAGGAGAAAGGCAAAGAGAAAGAGAACGAAAGGGGAGAAAGAGATGACCTATTTAATATACCCAGTAGATAGATCAAATGAACCTTCAGAAATAAATGGAAAAACAAATATTATATAAAATAATAAGAGATAAACCAAAAAATATGAAAGAGGGATAATTCAGAATTAAAGAGGATTAAATTAGCAAATATGCCAGAAAATAATATTGAAGGAAATATAAAAAAATAATATAAAGTGGGTGGGGAATAAATATCATAGGATTCAAATTAACATATATCAAATTAAATTTATATTAATTAATACCCATCCGAAAGGAAAAAATATATTTAAAATTTAATATATAATATAATATAAAAATCCCCTTAAAATTAAAAAAAATGAATGAAAAGTGCCTCAAGAAATAAAAATAAAAGATTCCTTTAGAATCAATAGAAAATACTATATAACAAAATAATATATAAATATATTAATTAATTAATTAAATAATTGTAACAAAAATTTAAATAAATAAAAATATTACAAAAAACCTTAACTGAAATTAAAATATTTAATACAAAAGGAAAAATAAAACAAAAAATACATATAAACCCCTTAAATATTTATACAAGATAAATATTCAGATGCCACTTCATCAAACCTTATAATACAATATATGTTAATACAAAACTCTTCAATACTACGTATCAATATTATATATTAACATATGCACCACATATAAAATAGAAAAAAATATATATTCATATAATATTAAAACGAGACTAAATACTTAAAATTAGAATCCAACTAATTGAGAATAAATATTAAAAATTATAATAAAAAATATATAAACCAATATATGAAATAGAGCGTATAAAAACATATAATTATGTATTATTATATAATAAAAATTAACTCAAAAGTTATATAAAGGTATATTATCATACTTATTATAAAACCCAGGTTGTGTGTGTGTGTGTGTTCGTTTATATATTGGATCGGATTTCCTACATTTTTCAACCGATTTTAACAAAACTTCACAGGACTACGTAAAATTACCTTACGGTGGTTCTGACAGTGCCAAAATTTGGAAAAACACAATTGTTTTTGCACGAAATCGATTTGAAAACACGATTAAGAGGCATCACTGTCGCGAGAATGAAAGGGGGACAACTCATATCGAGTTATACTTATTATAAAACCCAGGTTGTTTGTGTGTGTGTGTGTGTGTTCGTTTATATATGGGATCGGATTTTCTACATTTTTCAACCGATTTCAACAAAACTTCCCTTTTTTTTGGCAGGTAGTGTTTCTTATTGTCTTGCACACTTTTTTCTTTATTTTTACATTCAGAATGCTTTAAAATTCCATTTACAAGACAATTGTTTATAATAAAATTCTATTCAATCGGTAGACTCATAACGATTGAAAACAATGTTTTTGTTTGAGTTTGGGTTTGACCAATTGAAAAAAAAAAACAAAAAAAAAACTAATTAAGACATGCGTGTCCGTCAACCTTAAACAATAATCTTTGTCAATTTTATTTTTCAGTCTTTATGATGGTCGATACTTGATCTATCTCTTACTGTTACATCCCCGACGCCGGGCTCTACTGCTAGTTATTAATATTTAATTTTTAACATATAACGTGTATTAGCACGTGCGATATCCTGTCTTCACCAGCCGCCGACCAGGGGTGATATCACGGTTTCGGAGGCTATGGCGGGACCGCCACCCTTGGTGATACCAGCAGCGTTTGCCACCAGACAGGGTATGAAGATAAGCAAATAGATCGTTCCTCTTTGTAAATTCTTGTAATTAAATTTGGGATAAACAAAACGATTGTTCCTCTTTGCAGCTTCTATCCGTAATATTGTAGTGAAAGTATCATACTTACATATAAAGAATAATTCAGGATAATTCAATAAAGATACCTTAAGTTAAGAAAAAAGGAAAATAATGTCAATAAGGGTAATATTAAAGATATTATTGATAGACACCAAGAATTAATTGTAAGTTAGTGATAGAGAAAAGATATTTTTGTAAATTGTAACAAGAGAAATATGGGAAGGGAATATAAAGAAAAGAGGAGAAGCGGAATATATAATGTAATTTTCAAAGATAGCAGTTCATGTACATATTAAAGGTTTATATTTCACTGAAGAGGAGCAGGAATTAACAGGTAATTTCCAAAGGATGACAATTCATGCCAGTTCGTTAAGGATCTAGATAAGTTTAAATCTACTGCGTTGACGGCATTTAGAAAATATTTCATTCCTTTGGTTTAACAGTATCTTTGGATTTCTAAATTTAATAATTCTATTTTTTTTCGTAGTCATAGATTGCATATACCTTTAAAACTACTACGCGTGTAGGCTAACCCTATAATTTTCCAGTTAATCTGAGGATTCAGTTATTTCTCCTTCAATTCCCAAAATTTTTTGGGAAGTGCAGTTTGGAATTTCAGTTTTGTGTTGGAAAATGAGTGCTGATGGTTAAACAGACGTTGCTTCCATTCACCTGCGGATATTCCACTATAGATATTGTGGTTGTTTTTGTTCTCTTTAGGGTAAATGGTTGCCTGGTAAATTACATGAGGATCTGCATTTTCCTTCTACTGGATAGAGTTCACCATTTCTACAATTACATGGGGTATCTATACTAGGTGAATTGTTGATGCCATAGAATTTATTAAGAAGAAGTTTATTATGGGATCTCATAATAAAGTTCTTCTTAATAAATTCTATATCTTGCCAATAAACACCACTTATACTGCGGCTGCAGTATACATGTTACTCCTACACCCTACCGGTTACAGGATAAAAAATAGTCCATATTGTAGATTAATTACTATTTTGTCGGAAGTTCGATCCTCATTGGATGCCCAACATTTGTGGCCTTTTGCCCAAACTAGGTTACAGTTATGAATGCTGGAATGCACAAATCTAGTTGAAAGAGGGTTAAAGTTCGCGGAACGCTAGGGAAAATATTTTAATAACTGAATATACTGAATTAATGATTTTGTCCAGCATTTATTGGAAACTTTTGCATCAAGCTAATAAAAACACAACAAAATAAGCGAAATTATTTTCAGATAGATATTTATTGAAGATAGAAAAAAGCCTAGAATCTTGTATATTTAGTCTCGAATTTAATCTAAAATCGACGAAATTTGAAAAGAATAGTTCTTAAATTTGTAAGTACAGTGATTTAAAGAGAAATAAAAAACAGGATGAAGGATTTATATTAAGTTGAATGACAATTCGCAACTTAATTCTTTTGAGTGCAATTTATTCATTGGACGTTCATCAGTGCTTTCCCCTCTTATAGGGACTTTTCCTTCGGTGCCTGTCTCGCTTCGGACTCTTTCTATGCTTCTTGTGTGAATATTTCTTGCGTTTGTGGTGTGAATGCTTGCGCCTGTGGGGCGAGTGCTTTCCTCTGTAAGGCGAGTGCTTGTGTCTGTGAGGCGAGTGCTTGCGTCTGTCTGGCCCAAACACCACCTGTTGCAAAGGAAAAGAACGAAATCATTGAAAAAAAAAAACAACAAAATTTCACAGGTAATATATCCACAAAGAAATCTTTTACAAAAAAAAGTGATGTTTTACAGGCGGGATCTGGATAGCGAAAGACATTTTTGCCAGCAACATTTTGTTAAATGTGAAAGCTGAGGTTTACATAAGCGACAAGAAAGGTTTCTGGGTGATTATATGCACTACCGATTAAAAAGAAAACACGGTAACAAAATCGAGCATCGCTCCAGAAATTGGTGAGCAGGAAGATATATATATATATATATATATATATATATATATATATATATATATATGGAAGGGTTGCTGTTGGCAAGGTCGGTGCGTACTATCCCCCGAACCACCGGACTTGGAGCCCCGGGCAGTACTTTGTGACCCTCGCTACCTTATCAACACTTGCTCCTTACTAGCTACATTTATGTATGTTACAAATTAAATGAAGTACAATTGACTATTAAAGGGGGAAATATTTTCGAGGATTTTGATGTCATTCTGTGGACTTTTTGCTTTGCTCATGCTAAGTCTCGATCAACACTATGTAAAATTCAGCATTTTTTTATAAGCATTAAAACCAGCAAGGCAGGAGTGCCACTGGCACGCAAGGTGTTACAAACAGTGAGAGCAAGAGTAAAGAGGGGTATTTGAGGAAATATCAGCTCATCCCATAAGTTCTGTCCTAATTTTAACTTTTTGTTAAAATGAACGAAATTTAAAGAGTATTTTATAATGTCTAATGGAGTTGAACATTATTTTTATGTTTAGATGTATTCAAACTGATCAAATTTTATTTCAGAAAACAATAAAATTAAATTTTGTTTGATTAAAACCCTGCTAATATGGAAGTACCCAAGAATCATTTGAGGCACATAATGCTTTATGAGTTCAAGAAAGGAAACTTAGCAGCCGAAGCGGCTAGAAACATTCACTCAGTTTATGGTGAGGAATGTGTGAATGAAAGAACTTGCAGAAGATGGTTTGCAAAATTCAGAGGTGGAGATTTCACCCTTGAAGATGAAGATCGAACCAGACGTCCAGTTGAGTTTGATGAAAAGCTTCTTGAAGCAGCCCTTGAAGATAATCCTGCTTTATCAGTTGAGGAATTGGCAGTGGTTCTCAGTTCAAACCATACAACTGTTCATCGTCATCTTCAACAACTTGGAAAAGTTCCTAAACTTGGAAAATGGGTGCCTCATTCAAAACAACATCAAATCCCGAGTTGACATCTGCTCTTCTCCCCATTCTCGCCAACTTGTTTCATCTTTTTTGGATAGACTTGTGACTGGCTACGAAAAATGGACGTTTTATCGAAATGTTAAGCGTCGTAGATAGTGGCTTGGTAAAGGGGAAGGGCCCCAGCCACAGCCGAGAAGGGAACTTCATGGGCAAAAGGTTCTTCTTTCAATCTGGTGGGATCACCAAGGAATAATCCACTTTGAATTCTTACCACCTAATGCAACAATTAATGCTCAAATATACTGTCAGCAATTAGAGCGTTTGAACCAAGCTTTGAGGAAAAAATACCTGCTCTAGTGAATCGAAAAGAGGTGATGTTTCATCAGGACAATGCGCGACCCCACACAGCAAGAATCACGTCACAAAAGATCAAATAACTTGGTTGTGAGAAAATTCCTCATCCACCTTATTCTCCCGATCTTGCTCCTTCAGACTACCATTTGTTTTGTAGCTTACAGAATCATTTGGAAGAAACAGCTTTTGTAACACAGGAAGAGGTTAAAACTGACATTTGTGAGTTCTTCAAATCAAAGCCAAAAGAATTTTACAGTAATGGAATTAGTAAGCTTGTTCATAGATGGAAGGAAGTCATAGAGAATCAGGGAAAATACATTGTTGATTGAATCTGTAATTAAATGTAACATATGGTCACGTGGTTTCTTTATTCAAAATTCGGACAGAACTTTTGGGATGACCTGATAATATAGAGAAAGACCGGTATCAAGATCAAGGCATCAGAAGGTGTCGATTGACATTAAACTTGAATATTTGAAGATTATAGCTATCAAAGAAGCAAGTAAGGGGAAAGGAGTTCCACTGCCGGGAAGTGCGAGAGAAGAAGCTGTTGGAATGGAAGAGTCGATACAGTTAATCGCCTTTCACTGTCGATACAGTTAATCGCCTCGATTAACTGTATCGACAGTGAAAGGTTGGGACCGAGATGCCAACATAGTAGCACGCTTAAATTTATGCAGTTGGGGTACCAATGAAAGTAGCTCATTAGAGCAATTGCCATGAAAATATTTGTATAAAAAACACAGGGAAGCCACCTCACGTCTGTGAAAAAGTGATTGAAGACGAGATGACAGGTCAGGACCTATCACACTGCATATCCGTCTCTGGATTTTGTCGAGGACCTCGAGATGAACGGCGGGGGCACCAGACCATATATGGCAACAGTATTCAATGTAGGGACATTTGTAGATTTGAAGGATGGACTCAGACGAGAAAAACCTGGCGCGACACAGAGAAGAAACTTTCCTTGCGGTAGATGAAGATATTGAGATCAATGTAGTTGTTCCACTTCAGGTCAGTCCATAATTTTGAATGTGTTAAAATTCTCCAAATTCTTAAGAAAAAATCTCAAGTTGATTTTAAAAATTGCCGCAAAACATTGTTGACTTATTTAAGATGGAACGATCTATTATGACATGTCTTAAATTTCTATTTAGATACATTGGATTTATTTTCAATTTTTCTAGTTGAATTGTTCATTTATATTGCATATGATTTATTATTGCTCATAACTAGGTTACTCTAAAAATTGTATTTTCTATGAATACTACCTTTGAAAAAGTCTAGATAGTGTTAGGATATCTACCAACCGCCCCAGCCAGTAGCTGTTTCCTGAGACGAGACTCTGCCCTTCGACATAGCTTCGTCTTGGGAGCGTCTCTGCCCGAAGGCAGGGAGTTTGTCCAGCACAGCTGGAGACGAATCTCCAACTGCAGGAGATCTACGAACTGCCCCACGCGGACAGATGTGGTACAAGGCCGAATTTAATGTAGGGTATCCGAGCCCGTAGGCTCGGTCAAAAATTCTCCGTAGACCTCATATAAAACGGGGTTGTGTAGCTGTTCCCTGAGACGAGACTCTACCCTTCGACATAGCCTTGTCTGGGGATCCGCTCTACCCGGAGGCAGGGAGTTTGAACAGCAAAGCTGCAGACAACTGCAGGACATTTTACCAATCGCCCCACGCTGTCAGATATGGCACAAGGCCGAATTTAATGTGGGGTATCCGAGCCCGTAGACTCGGTCAAAAATTCTCCGTAGACCTCAGATAAAACGGGGTCGGGTAGCTGTTTTCCGAGACGAGACTCTGCCCTTCGACATAGACCCGTCTGGGGATCCTCTCTGCCCGAAGGTAGAGAGTTTAACCAGCACAGTTGTAGATGAATCTCCAACCCTCGGATAGATAGTTCTTGTTTATTATTTTCAAACTGAAATCAGTTACATAACACAGCACCTCAAAATATCATGAATATAGATAGAGACAATGTATTTAAAGAAACAAAAAAAAAGAACTTTACTCACATCACACCCGAAAAAAGTAGCTGTCTTGAACGTTTCTGTTATGTCACCAGTGGGATCTACGATGTACCAATCTTTGCCTGCCAAGATATTCAAGTAACCATTACCACTGTCATAAACAGCGTCGACGGAAGTATCTCTTGGCAATTTCCGGAAGTACTTCGAAGTGTGAATCGAGCTGCTTTTTGTCAAAAGCTTGAAAGTTGATCGCTCACAGTTGTATTCATATTCGACGTAGGAATCACCTAAGACAAAATACAGAATAAAAAATCATATATAATGGCTGCCAGATAATTTTATAGGAGGAGGCACTGAAAATATTTCAGCCTAACCAAGAATACCAGCAAAAAAATAAAATAAATAAATAAAAATATTTCAGCCTAACCAAGAAGACCAGCAAAAAAAAAATAAAATAAAAATAAAACAAATAAATGAAAATATTTCAAAAAATAAATAAATAAAAATATTTCAGCCTAACCAAGAAGACCAGAGCAAAATAAAACAAATAAGTAAATATAAAAATATTTCAGCCTAACCAAGAAGATCAGCAAAAAATAAAAATAAATTTAAAAAAATCTTTCAGCCTAACCAAGAAAACCAGCAAAAAAAATAAATAAAAACATTTCAGCCTAACCAAGAAGACCAGCAAAAAATAAACTAAATAAGTAAATATAAAAATATTTCAGCCTAATCAAGAAGATCAGCAAAAGATAAAAATAAATAAAAAAAAGATATTTCAGCCTAACCAAGGAAACCAGCAAAAAAAAAAAAAAAAATAAATAAAACAAATAAATGAAAATATTTCAGCCTAAACAAGAAGACCAGCAAAAACATAAAATAAATAAATAAAAATAAAAGTATTTGAGCTTAACCAAGAAGACCAGCAAAAAATAAATAAATAAAAATATTTCAGCCTAACCAAGAAGATCAGCAAAAAAAAAAAATAAATAAAAAAATATTTCAGCCTAACCAAGAAAACCAGCAAAAAAAATAAATAAATAAAAAATATTTCAGCCTAACCAAGACCAGCAAAATAAAACAAAAAAAAACTATTTCAGTCTAACCAAGAAGACCAGAAAAAAAAATTAATAGAAAAAAAGATATTTCAGCCTAACCAAGAAGACCAGCAAAAAAATAGAATAAATAAAAATAAAAAAAATCTGATGTTTGACTATTTGATCAGATTTTTGTAAGTATATTAGGCTGGGCTGAAAATTTTCAAGCACTTCCCTCGTGTATGTAGTCATATAAATTGTGTTCCAACGTTATATGCAATTCGATACAATGATAATAATAATAAAACTAATGGTGCTAGACTTCTGATCCCGTAGATTAAATTAGATTAAAGGTTACCCAGATCGCTTTACACCTGATGAAGGTATAAATCGCTCAAGAGGGAACAACTAAAATATTGTGATAACAACAAAGATGAATAATCAACAATAGTCCGAATATAAATAGTGTAAATAATAAACTTTTTTTTAATGATGTTCACTCTGTGCAAGGCCCAATAGCCACTCGAGGTAGAGGGTAAGAGACAAGGAGATAATGCCACCAAGGCCCAAAGGAAAATACTTTAGAAGAAAAAGTTTAGAAAGAACCGGAAATCCAATCATAAACAGGAAACAATTCATAAATCTCTACTCCTGTTCAGAAAACAGGGGAGAAGTGTGAACTGGACGATAGGCAAACTTATCTACTCCCACCGAGGAAAAGAAATAAATAAATAGTATATAAAATTATAGAGTTTTAAGCATAGACATTAGAAGTATAACGTTGACGTAGTCTTCAGAAAGAACCGGAAACCCGATCCTAAACAGGAAACAATTCATAAACCTCTACTCCTGTTAAAAAAACCGGGGAGAAGTGTGAACCGGACGATAGGTGAACTTATCTACTTTTACCGAGGAAAATAAATGAATAAATAGCAAATAAAATTATAGAGGTCATGCAGAAACATTAGAAGTATAGAGTTGATGTAATCTTTAGAAAGAACCGGAAATCCGGTCCTAAACAGGAAACGAAACAGAAACCTCTACTCCTGTTCAAAAGACAGAAGAGGCGTGTGAACAGGACGGTAGGCGAATCTGTCTACTCCTCATAAATTTTCGCTTTTAGGAACAAATTGTAATTATGAATGTATCATTCTGCTTAGTAATCATACGTGGCAGTTACGAACAAAACAACTTAGCATAGTTTTTACACGGCAGCATACACAATGAATGAGAGGGAATGTTTTTCTCACATTTCCCTATAACAAAGCAAGTCTGCATAGAGCAAGAATAACACAAGAAACATTTTGGAATTCGGTAGCCTTGTTCTACCCCACCCGCCATATACACCCAACCTTGCATCAACCGATTATTATCTGTTTCCATCGCTGTAAAAAGGTTTTGATGCGAGAAAACCTTCTCTAATGGAAACCATGTTTAAGTGCTTGTCGAAAAGTTTTTTTATATCAAAACCTGCAGAAGTTTACTTAAAAGGTATCGAAGAGCTGTTTGATAAGCGGCAACAATTCATTGCAAATAACGATGAATATTATGTAGCATCCGTCGATCTCTGAGGACCATAGACCTGAGCCCAGTTATGCCTCAGCTACCGCTGGCGCCGTAGATTGACTTATAACCGATTATAAAACGCAAATTGTGTGTGCGTGTCTGTACGTTTATATATTGGATCGGATTTCTACATTTTTCAACCGATTTCAACAAAACTTCACAGGACTGCATAAAATTACCTTGCGGTGGTTCTGACAGCGCCAAAAATTGGAAAAACACAATTGGTTTTGCACGAAATCAATTTGAAAACACGTTAAAACACGATTCTGTCGCCAGAATGAAAGGGGACAACTCATATCGAGTTATACTTATTATAAAACCCAGGTTGGTTGTGTGTGTGTGTGTGTGTGTTTTTATATATGGGATCGATTTCCTACATTTTCAACTGATTTCAACAAAACTTCACTTTTTTTGGCAGGTAGTGTTTCTTATTGTCTTGCACACTTTTTTCTTTATTCTTACATTTAGAATGCTTTAAAAATTCCATTTACATGACAATTGTTTATAATAAAATTCTATTCAATCGATAGACTCATAACGATTGAAAACAATGTTTTTGTTTGAATTTGGGTTTGACCAATTCGTAAAAAAAAAACAAAAACAAAAAAACAAAAAAAAAAAACTAATTAAGACATGCGTTCATCAACCTTAAACAATAATCTTTGTCAATTTTTATTTTTCAGTTTTTATCATGGTCGATACTTGATCTATCTCTTACTGTTGTTACATCCCCGGGCAACGGGCTATTAACCGATAAACTATTGCTTTCCGTGTTTTGCCGTCGCGATGAGGCGATGCTGGAGTGTCCTTCCCGGTATAGGCTTGGAGAGGGTTTTATGAGAGATCGGCGGTTGTCCATGCAACACGTCTTTCCTCTCCACGCCACCGATGTTGTCCAACGGAAAGGTAGCGTCCAATACGTCTTCGCACCGACGTCGTCGCAGAAGTTGCCAGAACGAAGTTGAACATAACATCGGGCTGTCTTAGGAAATCCGACTCTAGATTTGTCTCTAAAGCCTTTACCATGTTTGGGTATGACCACATGGCAGCGGGGGTTTAAAATCAGAGTTTTCCTTCTCTTAGATGGTGCTGATGAGTTCCATCTACCCGAAAAGGATGAATAGAAAATTAGATAAAAATTATTTGTTCATTATTGTTTTAAGTATAAAATTGATAACGAAAAGCGGATATTACTTAAGACTCAAGCCAATAGTATTGTTTAATAGAGGATTTTGACAGCAATATTAGCCGAAGGACCTTCATGTTAAACGCTTGGATGATATACTTATCAGATTTAGACACCCATTTGCTTGGACGTAAACAAGTTAACGGAAAAATAATAACTGGAAAATTCCTTTATTAAATTATTATAAATGTCCTACAGACAGATTTTTGCTTACATAAGGACCGGTTACCGAGCATAGCTGTCTGCTAGCCAAACCCTCTTCTAGGCGGGAACGCACAATTTTGCGTGATCAACAGTTTGAACAAAGCAAGTACACTCAAACTCTCGCTCACGATGACTTGTGACTTCGTGCTAGCACAAGCCACGGCAGCTTTCGAACAGTTTCGCCTAACCAATTTAATTCACAACGTTTGGGTCAACAGGCCGTATGGTTTCCAGATGCCTTTTAAAGGGACCACAGGCTGGGATCACCTGACCAGGCTGATAATAATTAAGAAGTCCCCTTCCTGACAAATAGACGATGATGAGATTCGATCCCAGTTTAATAGTCGGAAAGCGGACATTCTAACTACTCGGCCACGTTCTCATATATTTTTTTGATCATTTCGAGGACAGTAAAGGAACAGAAATTAAGTGCGATTACTTAATTATTCATTTGTGCCGGGAAGATTGGCTCGCTCTGTCGTGCTAGAAAATAGATTGTTCTAATTACACGTGCCATGCCTTGGACTAAGTAAAAGGTTCGGTCCGAAATTCCAAATATCACCTGGAGAAGGCCGGAGCGTACGACGACCGAAACGTTGTGTATATGACAATAAAAATGTTGACAACAGTCCGAACAATGTAAATAGTATAAATAGTTACAATATCTCATCTCAGAAATAGAGACAGATCCTGAAGAAGGCCGGAGCGTACAAGCGCCGAAACGTCGTGAATATGACAATAAAGATGAGAACAACAGTCCGAACTATGTAAATAGTGTACTTAGTTACAATACTCATCTCAGAAATAAAGACAGATTCTGAAGAAGACCGGAGAGTACAACGGCCGAGACGTCGTGAATATGACAATAAAGATGAGAACAACAGTCCGAACTATGTAAATAGTGTACATAGTTACAATACTCAGAAATAAAGACAGATTCTGAAGAAGACCGGAGAGTACAACGGCTGAGACGTCGTGAATGTGACAATAAAGATGAGAACAACAGTCCGATCTATGTAAACAATGTAAATAGTTACAATACCTTATCTCAGAAACAGAGAGAGATGATTCATATATTTATTTCTGAATTGGGATCAAAGATGGAGTAAAAATCTGACAGAATGAAAGAATAAAGAACTTGTAGAAAACGTTCATAAATGTAACTTTTCGCTTTTATTCCATTCTTATAAGAGATTTTCGGAAAGTTTCGTTATTTTGAGGTCTGCACTCTTTTTTTTTTTTTTTTTTTTCATTCGTCAAGAAGACCACATGTATTTTCATTTTGTCCTGTTAGCATATGTACGCGTGTGTGCCCCTGGATTCAAGTGAGTATTTTCCTGTCTATCTGCTAGTGTCAGTGTGGAAGTTAGTAGATGACAATAACGGCATCCCAAATTTCCAGGAATCGGTTCTATAAAATCAGATAATCTTTAGGGTCCTATTATGCTTATATTCTTTTCAATTTGAGAAGGGAGACAAATCTCTTTATAGTATAAAAAAGAATTAAACCATTTTGATAATTTAATATAAAATATTTAATTATTAAAAGATTTCCAGACTGAAATTCTGTTCTCATCCCATTTCTATTCAGAAGTATGATGCTTTTTGACTCTAGTGTCATCTGATGTTTTATGGTCTCTTCGCCATATTCGAATTGAATTGCTGCAGTCCCAAAAATCCAATGGAAGACTGATCAAATTTATGACTAGAAGATTTGCCACATTTTTAAATTCAAGACGATTTCTTTTCTCATCTCAGAAAATCCCTTTTCAGCCTCCGCAGAACTTACAGCAATACTATTAATTATATTTTTAGTTCTTTGAGTACAACATGTATATGGCAATTTCTCGATATGTTTTCAACGTAATCACGGAATTCATTAACAGTCAGTATAATTTTACTTGATTTTAACGAACAGTAAAATATTAGATTTTTAATTACGTTGCATCCTGAGCCAAATAATATGAAGTAGACGAGAAGGAATGTAAAATTTAAATATTTCAGCTTAAAGTAGATTATACTTGCCGCGTGACTAAACTTAAGATTTTTAATGAAATTCTTTAAAAAAGATTGAGTTTAAATGATTCAGATATGATCGGGCCAATAATGGCATTCCAAATTTCAAGAAACCGTTCTATAAAGACATGTAATCTTTAAGAACATATTCTGCTTATTTTCTTTTCAATCTGAGAATAGAAACAAATCACTTTATTTATAACTATTTAGATAAATTAATAGAAAACATTTATTTATTAAGATATTTCTAGATTTAAATTCTGTTCTCATTATATTTCTGTTCAGAAGTATTATGCCTTTTGACTTTAGTGTCATCTGATGTGTTATGGTTTCTTAGCCACATTCGAACTGAATCACTGTAGTTCTAAAGATCGAATTGAAGATCTATCAAATTTATGACTAGAAGATTTGGT